CCTTGCTGTTGCTCCCTCCCTAGAAAAGGCTAGAATTAGATGCATAATAAACATCGCTACCCTATGTCCCTGAGGGAGAAGTACAAGGTGTGTGAGACAGGATATAAAACAAAGTTCTACCCCAAAGCATTTTGCCTGCTCTGGTGGATAGGGAGGAGGATGCAGGTGTCACTGAAGGGGCATTTGAAAGTACTGGGTTTGAACTCAGGGCCTCATGCTTGCTAGGTAAGTACTCCCCCATTGAATCATACACCTTCTACCAAGTATCTGTAAGTCTGGCACACTGCTATTCTGGATGTGCTGAGGATCTAGAGGTGTGGTTTTTCTCTTTGATTGGGTTCCTTTTCCAGAGTGGTGGAATTAGGGAGTTCAGGTCTTTTGTATTGGGCTGTTGAGGAACCCCCCAGTACATTCTGTGTCTGGTATTTCACACGTGTGCATTTAGCTTAGAGGGCACTGCAAAAAATAGAAAGAAAGGAAAAAGTGGTGGGTGGGGAATGACAAGGGAACTTTGGTCCTGTCATGAAAGCTTTCCCCCACTGCTCCTTCTGACTGCAGTTTGTTCCTTGCTTCTTGATTTTGATATTTGGGATTTAATATTTTGTTTTTCACTTTTCTCTCTATATACATTTTCTTTTCTTTTTTCTTTTTTTTTTGTCGAACATGGAGCTTGAACTTGGACAGGGCACTGTCCCTGAGCTCCTTCAACTTAAGGATAGTGCTCTACCACTTGAGCCACAGCACCATTTCCGGTTTTCTGGTGGTTTATTAGAGATAAGAGTTCACAGCCTTTCCTGCCCAGGCTGGCTTTGAACCACAATCCTCTGATCTCAGCCTCCTAAGTAGCTAGGATTACAGGCATGAGGCACCGGCACCTGGCTCCATATACATTTTCTTGTGGCTTCACCTAAGTCTCTCTTTTGAGCCATACCTCTGTTGCAGGTGTGCAGTTGGGGGGTGATAGAAGAGTGGTTGTCAGCAGTTTGTCATCTTGGCTCCTGGAATCTCTGTGTGTGTGTGTGTGTGTGTGTGTGTGTGTGTGTGTGTGCTGGTCTTGTGTGTGTATGCGTGTGTATGTGTGTGCGCGTGCGCGTGCACGCGCACGCACTGCTCTTCCGGCTTGAACTCAGGTCTTTTTTCCTCAGGCATAATGTTCTACCACTTGAGCTACAGCTCCACTTCTGGCTTTTTTGTGTACTTGGAGATAAGTCTCAGACTTTCTTGCTCAGGCTGGCTTCCAGATGCAATCCTCAGATCTCAGCCTTCTGAAGCAGCTAGGATTATAGTCATGAGCCATAATTGACAGGCTGGAAACTTTTTAAATGTATATATGTATACTTGGGTATATGTATATATGTGTTCATATATACACATACAAACATAAAACATGTAATATATTATAAAACATACATATATATATATATCTTCTGGTGATACTAGAGTTTGAACTCAGGGCCTCACATTTGCTAAGCTAGTACTCTACCACTTGAGCCAAGCCTTCAGCCTGGCATTTTGCTAGTTGGAGATAGAGTCTAGAGATTTTTCCTTCCTGGGCCAGGCTCAATCCACCATCTTTTAGATCTCTCAATCTGGCCATTAATATGCTTGTTTGTTTCTGGTTTTTTTAATTTGACCCTATAAGTATTTCAAAGGTTATTTTTTAGTATGAACCATACTCCATTTTTTGTTGTTGTTGGTTGTGGAGCTTGAACTCATGGCCTGGGAGTTGTCCCTGGGTCTCTTTGTGATCAAGGCTAGTGATCTGCCACTTGAGCCACAGCACCACGTCTGGTTTTCTGGTGGTTTATTGGAGATAAGAGTTTCACAGCCTTTCCTGACCAGGCTGTCTTTGAACCATGGCCCTCAGATCTCAGCCTCCTGAGTAGGTAAGATTGCAGGTATGAGATACTGGAGCCCTGCTCCATTCCTTTTTATTTTTTATTTTTATTTTTTTGGGTCCAGGTGTGGGGCCTGAACTCTGGGCCTGGGCAATGTCCCTCAGCTCTTCAGCTCAAGGCTAGCGCTCTACCACTTGAGCCACAGCACCCACTTCTGGCTTTTTTCTTTTTGCTTATGTGGTGCTGAGGAATCGAATCCAGGGCCTCAGGCATGCAAGGCAAGCGCTCTACCACTGAGCCATCTTCCCAGCCCCTCCATTCATTTTTAGTACTGAATAAGTTTGTTTATAAGTACATTTGGATTTTTCACTTTTTCTATTGTGCATAGTGCTACTGTGAACACTTCCATTCATTTTGTTTGAGTACCTATTTTTTTTTTTTTTGGCAGCACTGGGCTTTGTGTTTGCTAGATACGTACTCCCCCATTGAACCACACCTCTTAAGCCCTTTATTGTATTTTGAAACAGGAACTCCCTTTTTGCCCAATTATAGATTTGGTGTAATTTTCCTATTTTAGGGGTCCTGTTGTATTTGGGATACGTCTGCTTTTTCCTTTTTTGTTGGTCAGGGGGCTTGAACTCAGAGCCTAGGTGCCATCCCTGAGCTTTTTGGGTGAAGATTACGGCTCTACCACTTTAAGCCACAACTCCACTTTCAGTTTTCTGGTGGTTAATAGGAGGTAAGTGTCTCATGGCCTCTTCTGCCTGGGCTGGCTTTGAACCATGATCCTCAGATCTCAGCCTCCTGAGTAACTATATTACAGGTAAAAGTCGCCAGTGTCTGGCTTGGGATACTTCTTTTGATGGACCTAGGTGTGAAATTTCTGGGTGCTGTTCCTCAGCTCTTCAGCTCAAGGCAAATGCTCTACCACTTGAGCCACAGTGTCACTTCTGGTTTTCTGGTGGTTTATTGGAGATAAGAGTTTCATGGACTTTCCTGCCCAGGCTGGCTTTGAACCATGATCCTCAGATCTCAGCCTCCTGAGTAGCTAGGATTACAGGCGTGAGCCACCAGCACCCAGTTTCACTGCATTATTTTATTTTATTTTATTTTTTGGGGTGTCCGGTCGTGAGGCCTGAACTCTGGGCCTGGGCGCTGTCCCTCAGCTCTTCAGCTCAAGGCTAGCGCTCTACCACTTGAGCCACAGCGCCACTTCGGGCTTTTTTTTTTCTTTTTGCTTATGTGGTGCTGAGGAATTGAACCCAGGGCCTCAAGCATGCAAGGCAAGCGCTCTACCATGGAGCCCCCTTCCCAGCCCTCACTGCATTATTTTAAAAAGCTTCTATTTACTTAATTTATTCAATAAATATTTAATGGGTATCCAGTCTGTGCCAAACACTTTCTAGGTAGTTTTGTTCTAAGAAGATGTGTCAGATAGTGCCACAGTGGCATGTAATCCAAACCAAAATTTTTGTGTTATGAAAAATTAATCACTTTATTAAGCACTTACTGGCAGCGTTCTGGAGATCAGCTGAGAGCTGATTAGAAGAGCTCTATTGGCAACTGATTCAGGTTGAGGTGCTCCTGCTTTGTTTGCTAGGGTAGGTGGGTCTCATATATTTCTTAGTTCTTGAACCTGGGGACTGGGCTTATTTTTTTTTTTTTGGGTCCGGTCGTGGGGCCTGATCTCTGGGCCTGGGCGCTGTCCCTCAGCTCTTCAGCTCAAGGCTAGCACTGTACCCCTTGAGCTACAGTGCTACTTCTGGCTTTTTTCTTATGTGGTGCTGAGGAATCGAACCAGGGCCTCGATCATTCAAGGCAAGTGCTCTACCACTGAGCCACCTTCCCAGCCCCCTGGGCATATTTTTCTTGTGCCTTCTCTCATGACAGTGACAACATCACAACAGGGGACATGTCCAGTTTGGGGTATATGGTTAGCCAGAGCAAGTCTCATGGCTGAGTTCAGAGATCAGCTATGAAAATGAGTTCTATTTTTTTGTGTATGAAATTTCAGAGTTCATGACAAAGGCTGAACATTAGGCTCAGAAATTTAGTTTGTGAGAAATACAGATAAAGAAAAGCAGACATAATACATAAGTAGATTATCAAATATATTAAGTGATAAATCATATTGCAAAGAACAAAGTAAGTCCTAGAGGATAGTATGAAAATAATGCTAATGTGCAGGTAGGAATGGGAACTATAGTTTTTATTTTTATTTATTTAATGTTGGTTGTGAGGCTTGAACTCAGGGCCTAGGCACTGTCCCTGAGCCTCTTTGTGCTCAACTCTAGTGTTCTACCACTTGAGCCACAGCTCCACTTCTGCTTTTTGAGTGGTTAATTAAACGTAGAGTTTCAGGGGCGAGGCACCGGTGGCAAACATCTATAATCCTAGCTGCTTAGGTGGCTGAGATCTGAGGATCACGGTTCAAAGCCAGCCTGGGAAGGAAAGTCCAGGAGACTCTTATCTCCAAGATACCACAAGTAGGGCTGGAAAGGTGGCTCAGTGGTAGAGTGCCTGCCTTGCATGCATGAGGACCTGGGTTCAATTCCCCAGTACCACATAAGCAAAAAGAAAAAAAGCCGGAAATGGCGCTGTGGTTCAAGTGGTAGAACACTAGCCTTGAGCTGAAGAGCTGAGGGACAGCGCCCAGGCCTAGAGTTCAGGTCCCACGACCGGGACCCCCTCCCCCCAAAAAAAAAGAAAAAAGAAAGAAAGAAACCACCAGTAGAGTGCTCGCCTTGAGCAGAAAAGCTTAGAGACAGCACCCAAGCCCAGAGTTAAAGCCCCACAACCGACAAAACAAAAAAAAAGAATCTCATGGAGACTTTACTCCCTGGGCTGGCTTCGAACCAAGATTCTCAGGTCTCAGTCTCCTGAGTAGCTAGGATTATAGGTGTGAGCCACGGCACCCAGCTGAGAACCATGGTTTTAATAGTGAGAAACCTAGAATGAGATCTGGCTTAGCATTTCTTCAGCCATTTTGAAAATATTTAAACAGATCTGGGAAAGAGAAGAATCTTCCTCAAAGTTGATGGCAGATACAAACAGACCTACAGCCTAACAAGCCCCTTCAACTTTTATACTATTCTCCTTTTATGAAGGGTACCCAAAATACTTTGTGTAATGGCATTACAGTCATTGTGTTGTGTGTTACAGGTTTCTCCATTTTCTGAGATGTGTAGTCAGAAGAAAAGAAAAGATATGGAAGCTGCTTGTACCTGGAGTTTATTGTCTGAGAAGAAATGTAAGTAATTTCAAATAAGAGTGGGTATAACCTTAAATTCTACTGCTTCTCCGCATGGCCTCTGGGATTCTTCTGAGTGTTTAAATATCGACCTGTTAAAAGTTCTTGAAATTGATGCCACAATTTTGGTTTACCCAAAGTGATGACAAAGACATATCAGCAAAGTAAAAACTGTGGTTCTAGTGGTTTGCATAATCTCTGAAACATTTGTCATCTTAAGGTACTCTTTTTGTTGTTGGTTGTGAGGCTTGAACTCAGGGCTTGGGCACTGTCCCTGATCCTTTCTGCTCAAGGCTAGTGTTCTACCACTTTGAGCCACAGCTCTGTTTCTCTAAAGTAGTCTTAAGAGTCTCCCATGACTTGTAACTACAGCTTTTCCACAAGAGATAGCACAGAAAAGCAGATTTTTATGGCGAACACAAACCAATTTTTCTCCCTTAGTCTTCCAATTGCCTGCTCATTTCCAGTGACTATAATGTCTGCCTCGCTGGACCCTACTTCCTCTTCTCCACATTTACCTTCCATCTTTTAGTCACACCTCCCCCACCATAGGTCTCATTCTTTACAAGGTGTCCAAGTGGCAACAAACACCTATATGAAGGTAGAGAAGATATGTGTGTGCTTTTGTTTTTCAGTCGTGGGGCTTGACTTTGGCCTGGGAACTGTCCCTGAGCTTCTTTTGCTCAAGGCTACCACTCTTCCATTTGAACCACAGTGCTACTTCTGGATTTTTCTGTTTATATGGTACTGAGGAGTTGAACCCAGGACTTCATGCATGCTAGGCAATCACTCTACCACGAAGCCACATTCCCAGCCCTGTGCTTGAATTTTTTATTTACCCATGTGTGCAAGTGTTTGGAATGAATGTGTGCATGTATTTGTATAAAGGTCATAGTATGTATTCGTTTGGCTAATATTCAGCAATGCTTTATTCTCCTTATTATCAAGAAGCCTCAACAGAAGCAACAGTGGAAAGAAAAGTACCAGAAAAGTCACTTCAAATACTTCTTTTAAGTTCATACCTAAATATTCCTTATTAATTGTGATGGTTAGTATGGTTGCTAACTTTATTGGATTGAGAGATTCCTAACAAAATACTAAAGCATGCTTCTGGGTGTGTTTGTGAGGGTGTTTCCAGAGATGATTAATGGGGAAAGACCTGCCTTCATTGTGGGTGGTAACATCTAGTAGGCCAAGATAACAGGGGAAAAAAGAAGCCTGAGAAGTGAAGCTGTCCACTCAAAGTGGTAGAGCACCAGCCATAAGCAAATGGAGTCAGAACCTAGGCTGTGGGTTCAAGCCCCATGGCTGGTACATAAAGAAAAGAAAAGAAGCCTGCTCACACAGGCTTACTGTCTCTTGCTTCTTGGCTGCCCTCCTATGTGCTTTCATCATGATGTTTAGTCTCACCACAGGCCCAGAAACAATGGAACAAGCTGACCATGGACTGTTAACCTCTGAAATCATGAGCTAAAATAAATCCCCCCTCCTTTTAAAACTGTTTCCCTCAGGTATTTGCCAAAGCTATGAAAATCTGACTAACAAACACAGTTGTATAAATGAAAATGTTCACATCCTAACTATATCTGTAAAGGAAGGTTTTATGCTTTATTTTATGTTAGCCATTAGTTATAAAATGCCTCTATAGATGGCATGTGTGGTGGTACATGCCTGAAATCCCAGCACTTGGGAGGCTAAGGTAGGAGAATTCCAAATTTGAGGTCAGCTTAGACTGCATAGCAAGTTCCAGGCTATCCAGGGCTTACACAGTAAGGCCCTGTACAAAAGAAAAGAAAAGAAAGCAAGAACATTTTATAGGGAAGTTAGAAAAGATATGAGGTGATGATGTACTTTTTCATAGTATTTCTGAGGCATGCAATGAAAATATCTGTTTATGTCCTGTTTCGGTATGAAGGTATATTCATGCTATTCCCAATTTCTTTTCCTCTCACACACAGCTGCTTCAAGTTCTCTGGCTTCCTGTTCAATGAAGGATCCTGCAGGTACGTATCTTTTTGTTGTTTTTAAAAAAATATTTTTATTGTCTTTAAGTAGTTGTAAAAAGGAGGTGCCACTTACCAAAGCAGTTTATGAATATTTGATCAATGTCACCCCTTTCAGCATTCTCACCCAACCTTGTCAAATCACCCCTTCCCTCACTTTTCTTTTTTTTGGGTCCGATTGTGGGGCCTGAACTCTGGGCCTGGGCGCTGTCCCTCCGCTCTTCAGATCAAGGCTAGTGCTCAACCACTTGAGGCGCAGCGCCATTTCTGGCTTTTTTTCTTTTTGCTTATGTGGTGCTGAGGAATCGAACCCAGGGCCTCATGCATGCAAGGCAAGCGCTCTATCACTGAGCCACCTTCTCAGCCCCCACTTTTCTTAATCTTTTAGGTTATGCATTGGATTTTTTGGTCATCCCTTCAACATCTTCAACCCCCCCACCCCCCAACCCGCGCTTTGACCCATCCCTTCCCTTATTTTTCTAAGTTCTGTGATATATACAATGAATTCTCGCCTACATTCTACTCCCTTTCCTCATTCATTTTTCTACCCGCCTCCATTGCAAATACCCATTTCCTGGTACTTATTTTATTGAGCTCTGACTTAGTGTTTCAAAAAAAATTACACTGCGCTTTCCATAGAATCTATTGTACTTAAATTAATTCATTTATAACTGCTTGCATACCCACATAGTATATTTACTTATAGATTTATAGGGACAATTCTAGCTCCCACAAATGAAGGAAACTTTATAACCTGTGTTTTTTTGGGTCTAGCTTACTTAACTCAATCCAATTTTTCCATGTCTTTCCATTTCATTACGAATGGTACTACAGTCTCATTCTTTCTGATGACCATACATTTCTGTTTTAGAATTTATGTCTCTTATGAATCCAGTTTCTCACCCTTACCCTTCTCCGTTTTCAACTCTTATTCACTGGGTTAACAACTGCTAATTTTTTTGGCAGTATCTATGAAGCTCTGAGAAGCAAATATGACTTCTAAAACATGTAAGGTATATTCAAGTGAGTATTGAAATACTGAAAAGATCACTTATGGTGGTCATTAAGAGCTAGATGTAGAGGTTTTTTTTTCCTTTGTGCCAGTCCTGGCGCTTGAACTTTGTCTGGGTTCTGTCTCTGAGCTATTTTACTCAAGACTAGCACTCTACTACTTGAACAACAGGTCCATTTCTGGCTTTTTGGTGGTTAATTGGAGATAAAAGAGTCTCAGGGATGTTCCTGTCTGGGCTGGTTTCAAACCGTAATCTGTGAATCTCAAGCTTCCTGAGTAGCTAGGATTACAGGTGTTAGGTGCCCAGCAGATGTAGAAATTTTAAATAGCTAAAAAAGACCAGTCCTCTTTGGGAATAGTTTAAATTGGGACTACTGAACAGTAGCCTAGTGTGCCAGACAAATGCACCTAGTGTCCTGCTTCTGTAAATAAGGTCTTCCTGGAATACTGCTGTTATTCACTTGCATGTTGTCTGTGGCTGCTTTTATGTTACCATGTCAACGTTGTTACTGAAAGAGATTGAAAAGCCCAAACCACTCAAGAAAATTTCCAGAAAATATTTGCCATGCCTTATCTGGATCAGCATCCAAACTGAGTTCTGTTTTCTTGGAGTTAATAACTTCATGGTTAGAAAAGAGTTTCTATAGTTGTAAGAACACAAAATACTGGATTAAACCAAGTTAAGCAGCTTTTCAAAAACATTGTAGGAGAGTAAAGAAGCTTTTCACACATGTGTGTTCAGATATTTTACTAAGAGGATTGAGGGTACTTGCCCTCATCTTAACTTTACTGTTCAACACCTTTTCAGAATAGCTCTCCTATTAATGTCTTGCAGAATAGTTTTCAAAAATGCTGATTTGGAAAATGCCGGGCTTTTTTTTCGGGTTGCGGGGGCGGGGGGGGGGGGGGTCTTGAACTCTAAGCCTGGGCACTGTCAGCTCTTCAGCTCTACCACTGGAGCCATAGCGCCACTTCCGGTTTTCTGGTGGTTAATTGGAGATAAGTGCCTCACAGACTTTCCTGCCCAGGCTGGCTTTGAACTGCAATTCTCAGATCTCAGCCTCCTGAGTAGCTAGGATTACAGGTGCTAGCCACTAGCGCCCGGCAGAATGCCAGTTTTGATAATTCTCTTAACAAGAGGTTTGAATTCAGTGAGTTACTCAGACAAATCTGAATCTGAATTAAGCCTGCCATTTAAGATAATTGAATAAGTTACCAAAAGCAATTGGCTATATAATTGTTGGGATTTGAGTTCAAAATAAAAATGCAGGATCCACCTTGTTCAGAGATTTAAGAATTTCAGTATAGCCTCAGAAGAGCATTAAAGCAAATATGGACCTTCTGAGCACAGAATGCTGTGTGACCAAATGCATAGACTGCATTCTCATGAAGCCAGCCCTACTTGTACACTTGACCATCCTGAAGTGTCAAGGGTGAGCATACCTGCATTATGGAATTATTGTGATAATTAACTATGTGTGAAGTGCCTAGTACAGTGTCTGGTACAGAATACACAATAATAAGTGACTTTTTTGAATGCAGAAACATTTATAGCCATAGTCAATAAATTGTTATTGAGTGTTAACTATGTTCTGGGTGTCATGCTGGATACCAAGATATTATGGTACAACAGTTAAGGTCTCTGTCACGATACATATTGTTAAGGAGAAAACACAAACAATAAAACAGAAAACCAACAGTATGGTTATAAACTTTCCATAAGGTCTAGAAAGAGAAATAGTAGTAGATAGGATCTGCTGTAATTTTAGTGATCACACAAATTCTCTTTTGGAATGTAATTTTTCAGTTGAGGTCAGGCGGATGAGAAGGAAGTCTCCATGGGAAGAACAGGAGGAATTGCGTTCCAGGCAGAGAGAGTATGCAATTTAAATTTTTAAAATTTACTTTTGATTATTATACAGGTGACATACAGAGGAGTTATAGTTACATAAGTCAGGTACAGAGTACATTTCTTTCTGGACAGTGTCAACCCTTCCCAGTTTTTCCCTCCTGTCCCTGCCCACATATTGTATAGTTCATAAAAAAATACTATTATAAAGGTCCTTTATGGAAGAGTTACAGTTTCATAAGTCAGATAAAAGGAACATTTGTTTTTGGACAATGTCAGCCTTTCCCTCTCTCTCAGTTTTTCTCCACCATCACCACCCATAAATTGTATAGTTCATTTTCAACATAGTGTCTAGTGAGTAGTTCTGCTGCATTTGCTCACTCTTGTCCCATCATTTCTGTGACCCCCCCCCTTTATTCTCCCAAAGACAAACAAATGGAGAAACAAGACAAAATAAAGGAAACAAAAACAGCAAAGAAAATACCTCTTGTTTTCATTTCCTGGAGTACATTTTGATAAATATTAGTTTTATATGATCATTGGCACATAGGAGAATATGGCATTTTTTTTTTGTCCATCCTGGGGTGAGCTCAAGGCCTGGGTGCTGTTCCTGAGCTTTTTTGTGTTCAAGACTAGTACTCTACGACTTGAGCCACAGTGCCATTTCTGTTTTGTGTGTGTGTGTGTGTGTGTGGTTAATTGGAGATAAAATTCTGACAGGGACTTTTCTACCCAGACTGGCTTTGAATTGTGATCCTCAGATCTCAGCCTCCTGAGTAGCTAAGTGTGAGCCACTGGCGCCTAAAGAATATGAAATTTTTATTTATTTATTTTTTGGTCGGTCCTGGGACCTGAACTCTGGGCCTCTGCACTGTCCCTGCGCTCTTAAGCTCAAGGCGAGCAATCTACCGCTTGAGCCACAGGGCCACTTTCGGTTTTCTAGTGGTTTATTGGAGATAAGAGTCTCATGGATGTTCCTGCCCAAGCTGGCTCAGATCTCAACCTCCTGAGTAGCTAGGATTATAGGCGTGAGCCACTGGCTCCTGGCAATATGACATTTTTAAGACATAAAATTAAGCTAGTGGGCTGGGAAAGTGGCTCAGTGGTAGAGTATGAATAAGGCCCTGGGTTCCATTCCTCAATAACACATAAGCAGAAAAAGGTGGAAGTGACCCTGTGGCTCAAGTGGTAGAGTGCTAGCCTTGGGCTGAAGAGCTGAGGGACAACGCCCAGGCCCACAGTTTAGGCCCTATGACTGGCAAATAAAAAATAAAAAAATTAAGCTAGTGTTGCTAGGTGCTAGTAGCTCATGCCTGTAATCCTAGATACTCAGGAGGCTGTGATGTGGGGATATCTATTTGAAGCCAGCCTAGGCAGGAAAATCTGTGAGACTCTTAAATCTAATTAACCACCAAAAACAAGCTTGAAGTGGAGCTATGGTTCAAATTGTAGATCGCCTGTCTTGAGCACAAAAGCTAAGGAACAGTGCTCAGGTCCTTGAATTGAAGCCTCAGTAACCACACACACACACACACACACACACACACACACACACACACACACACACACACACACACACACACACACACACACACACACACACACACACACACACACACACACACACACACACACACACACACACACACACACACACACACACACACACACACACACACACACACACACACACCCAAGCCAGGTCCTTGAATTCAAGCCTCAGTAACCACACACACACACACACACACCCCACGCCAGGTCCTTGAATTCAAGCCTCAGTAACCACACACACACACACACACACACACACACACACCCCACACACTTTTATCAGAGACAGTAAGAAGAATGGTTTAAAATAGGGCTTTGGAAGAGGAGGTTGTTTAACTCATGGAGCACCTTGTAGAGTGAGGTAAGGATTTTAAATAGCATATCAACTATAATGAAAAGTTTGAAGGGAATTTGGATGGGATATTGACAGGATCAAATTAATATTTTCAGGAAATCTCTTTGATTTCTTGCAGTAGAGGACCAGAGGGGACAAGTGGGAGGCTGTTTCAGCAGTCCAGAAGAGTTCAGAGTGTGAGAGAACATATTGGAACACAAATAAATTTTAAGCTAATTTTTCTTCACAGAGCAGTTTATGAATACAGTGCAACTTGAAGTCACCCCTTTCAACATTCTCACCCATCCTTCCCAACCCAGCCTGTTCCTCAATTTTTTTAAATTTTGTAGGATATACATTGATTTTGAAGGTGTAAATGGTAGTGTTTGTTAACTGATTGGTATAGACAGTTGAAAGTAATAATAATAACAACTCCTAACATTTTTCAGAGGAAATAGATAGCAGCATTTAACTGAGAGGAGAGATGTCTGGGTAGAGTTGCCTTGGGAGTGTGTATGTGTGTTGAAATCAAGAGCTTAGGTTTAGATGTACAAAAGTTTGTAATTTTTTTCCTCATTTGTGGGGCCTGGCCATTGTCTCTGAGCTTTTGTTTAAAGCGAGCACTCTCCCACTTTGAGCCATAGTTCCCTTCCAGTTTTCTGGTGGTTAATTGGAGATAAGAGTCTCACAGACTTTCTTGCCCAGGCTGGCTTTCAACTACAATCCTCAGCCTCCTGAGTAGCTAGGATTACTGGTGTGAGCCACTGGCATCTGGCACTTTAATTTTTTGTCTATGCTGGTCCTGAGGCTTGAATTCAGGGCTTGGGTGCTGGCCTTTAGCTTTTTCACTCAAGGTTAGAGCTTTACCACTTAAGCCATAACTCCACTTCCAGCTTTTGTAGATAAGTCCCACAGATTTTTTTTTTTTACCTATACTGGCTTCAAACCATGATTCTCATATCTCAGCCTCCTGGTTAGCTAGGATTTAGACTATCAGCTAGGATTTTAGCTACCAACGCTCAGCTTTAGATGTATAAAGTTTGAGGAGCTTTTGAGGCATCCAAGGAGAGATATGGTATTAATGGTTGTGTAGTCCTAGCTGTAGTTTTCTATGACTAACTTACCCTTTGTTGTCGCATTAGATTATCGGGAAATGTACCGAAGACATCTAAGAGAAAAATACCTAAAAACAGGACCTGATAAATGTTTACCCCATTGCAAGCATATAGATACACGGCTACTTCTTGTAAAAGAGTATGGTATATCAGAAAAGACTTCCTGTGGAGTGCCTCAGCAAGATTGTTTTCTTGAGATGGAACACATGTTTGATCCTGATGAACCAGGCTGCAACTCCTCCAAAACAGTGGTGCTTCAGGGATGCCCAGGGAGTGGGAAAACAGCGATGGTGCACAAGTTCATGTTTGATTGGGCAGCAGGAATGGTTACTCCAGGCAGATTTGACTATCTCATCTATGTCAACTGCAGAGAAATAAGCCATACTGCTCCTATTAGTGCTATTGATTTGATCACCAACACTTTTCAAGATATAAAAGAACCAATCCTGGATATTATCATTGAATATCCAGAGAAGCTTCTGTTCATTCTTGATGGGTTTCCTGAGCTGCCATACATTTTCTGTGAGCATGAAGATGATCTGAGTGATAATCCCCAGGAGAAGAAGCCAGTGGAGTCTCTTCTGTGTAGTTTCGTGAAGAAAACACTATTTCCTGAATCTTCTCTCCTGATAACTGCCCGTCTTACAGCCATGAAGAAGCTCCACTCTTTGTTAAAACAACCTATCGAGGTAGAGATCCTGTGGTTTCGAGATGCTGAAAAGCGAGCATATTTCTTGAGTCAGATATCAGGTGCTAATAGAGCAATGAGTGTCTTTTATGACTTGCGAGACAATGAACACCTTGACATTATATCCTCACTGCCCATTGTTTCCTGGATGTTGTGCAGAGTCCTGCAGTCACAGGATGACGAAGATAAGAATCTTATGAGGTCACTGCATACGATGACTGGTGTGTATCTGTTCTATTTTTTGAAGTGCCTCCGAAACCTTAGAGGCATCCCGATGTGGATGGGACAGAGTTGTCTGCAGGGTCTTTGCTCTCTGGCTGCAGAGGGACTGCAGAACCGTCAGGTTCTGTTTACAGTCAGTGACCTCCAAAGACACGGGATAGGAATTAATGATGCCAGTTGTGATTTTCTCAATCACTTCTTGAAAAAAGTGGAAGGGGATGTTAATATCTATACCTTCCTTCACTTCAGTTTCCAAGAGTTCTTAACTGCTGTGTACTATGTCCTGAAGAATGATGACTGCTGGGTAGCTTTTAATCAAGTTGGGAAAACATGGCAAGAAATATTCCAACAAGTTGGAAAAGGTTTTTCCTCACCAACCATACAATTCCTATTTGGACTCATACATAAAGGGAAGGAAATGGTTGTAAAAAATATTTTTGGAAGACAAATCTGTCAAGAACTTGAAGAAGAGTTGTTGAAATGGACTGAGACAGAAATGAAGGATAAAACTGCCCGGTTACAGATAGAGCCAGTTGACTTGTTTCACTGTTTGTATGAGATGCAGAACACAGAATATGCAGGGAAGATAGTTGATCATTTAGAGTCACTTGTGCTGCTCCAAGCTACCTATACAAAAATGGACACCTTGGCTATGTCATTTTGTGTCAAAAATAGTCACCGTGACCTGTCAATGTCTCTCAAGTGTCAGCACCTTCTTGGGTTTGAAGAAGAAATACATACGTCACTATTCATGCCACCATCCATGCCAACAGCATCAAATGTATCATTTAATCAGTGAGTATATTCATGGCTTTTCCTCATTGTTGGCCTTTATAAACAGGGGGCCACTTGTTTATGTAATATAACACCTAGCATTGGCAATAAAGAGTGGTTTCAGGTTTCTCTATTTTCTGTCAGTACAATAAGCATTTATTGATTATCATGCATTCATCACTGGCCTACACAGACCATGAAGGAAGCTAACATTTTTGAGCACTTACACCACACACTTGAACTGGCCACCATTAAATGCGCATGCCTGCACAGGTCTGTGTGTATGTGTATGAAGTCTTCATTGCCACTCTGTGAATGTGCTATATAATTATCAAGTGTTGTGAGCATTTAAAGTCGTCAAGGATGTCAGTGAGCACTCAGTTATTTTGGTGTAGATGACTGTTCTGGAAAAGATAGTATACCTAACATCAGATTGGTTGTGATTTTTCTTTACATCTACTGAAATAGATGTAAATAGCCTCAAATAGCTCCTTGTTAGTAAAGGTAGAGTTATATTTCTGTATACCTTTTTTGGTGCCTGTCCTGTGATTTGAATTTAGAACATGGATTTTGTCCCGAGCTTTTGTGCTCATGCCTAACACTCCTATTATTTGAGCTTCAGCTCCATTTTTCTATGTATATCTACTGGAAAGTCTGGGTTCTGTCCATGAAACCTTCTAAGAGGGACAAGTCTGAAGTTCAAAGAGACTTAAGTAAACCACTTTTATAATATGTACCCCATAGATTCTGTAAAATAATATGCTACTGACTTACTGACAAAATCCACAAAGAAATCTTATTAACCTGTCTATCCTCAGTATCTGAGTTAAGATGGGAAATGCCTCTCTCTTAGTTGTAGGGCCAGGTAGGAGAATGACACTAGTTATGATGGCATATGTCTGTAATCCTAACTACTCTGGAGGTGGAGGCAGGAGAATGGCTACTTCAAGTCCAGCATGATAAAGTTAATGCAACCCTATTTCTCCACACACACACACACACACACACACACACACACACACACACACTCACTTTCTCTCTCTCTCTCTCTCTCTAAAACAAAAAGGTTTAGGGGCATAGCTGAAATATTAGGGTACTTGCCTAGGATCGCAAGGCCCTGAGTACTGCGAAAAGGCTCTACTTGTGGAGTATGCAAACCCATGTCTGTCCTGTAGTTGTATAAGTGTGTTTAACGGAATATGGAAGGAAATGGAGATGGAACAGAATTGGAGGGGAAATGGGTTAGAGAGGTTGAATTACAAAGGTCTCTTCAACATAAAGACAGCTTCAATTCACCTGTCTATTGCCAAGCAAAATAATGGGAAAATTAAAATATTGATGAAAACAAGTGTTTTCTTATTCTCTGTTTTTGGAAAGCTAGCTTAAGATAAAGTACCCCCTATCTCCCCTTAAAATGATGTAAAAAATTATTTCATTTTTATTTTTTAAGTGCCAGTCCAGGGGCTTGAATTCAGAGGTTGGACACTGTTCCTGAGCTTTTGTGCTGAGGGCTAGTGCTCTACCATTTTAGGTACAGTTCTGCTTCCCACTTTTTTTTAATTAATTGGAAATAAGAGTCTCACAGATTTTCCTGTCAAGGCTGGCTTTAAATCATTACCCTCAGAAGCCTTCTGAGTAACTAGGATTACAGGTGTGAGCCACCAGTGCCCTTTTCCCAGCCCTACATCTTAATGTCTTCATGGAAGAGCTTAAATGCCTGCCAAAAAATTTACTTAAAACACCCCTTTCCCAAGTGTGCTGGCTAAGTGAGATTTTACTATTGATCTTACCTGGTTTTCAAGTATAGTCATTACTTCTGTTAGTACAGACAAAAAATAAGTTACATAGTGAAGGTTGCTTAGGAAAGTTATGACCTCGAAGACCATCTGGGCAATAGTGATTTCAATACATGTCATTGTGCCTACCTAGCATATAGGAAAGAGCATAACTTTATACTTCTTCAAGTTTTAAGTTATAAATTAGTACTAGTATGACAAAAAGCTAAAAGGAAGCTTTTATTTCAAGTTTTGTTCTAAATTCTGTTTTCTTATCTCTTTTAGCTCCTTTCTGCTGCATAATCAGTATTCGTCTCAGCTACATTTCCTCTGCCAAGCACTGCGTGATCCAGCCTGTAAAATTAAAGACCTGAAGTAAGTTGAATTTGGCTTTATAATTTATAGTAGTGAAGGTAAAAACTAGGTCGCTAGAAAACACCCTCTCAACTGACTAGAGCTGATAACTAAGTATAACTAATGTTAGCTTGTCCTTACACTGAGAGAGTAAATGAAAAGATGTTATAAGTCCAGAAAAGGATGTAAGGAAGGAGTCAGTCACACATTTCTGCTCATCCCTACTGCCTTTCCTGCCTTAATACATGTAATTCTGTAATGATTGGTGGCTGCTTGTAACCCTGAAAGACTTTCTCACATTTGGGTATTACAAGAGGAATCCTTTTTTTTTTCTTTTTCTTTTTTGTCAGTCGTGGGGCTTGAACTCTGGCCTGGGTACTGTCCCTGAGCTTTTTAGCTCAAGGCTAGTGCTCTACCACTTGAGCCACAGCACCACTTCCAGTTTTCTGAATGGTTTATTGGAGATAAGAGTTTCACGGAGTTTCTTGGATGTTTTTGCCTGGACTGGCTTTGAACCATGATCCTCAGATCTCAGCTTCCTGAGTAGCTAGGATTATAGGCATGAGGACTCCTTTTTTAAAAAAATAATTTTTAATTATTATTATAAAGCTTCTATACAGAGCAGTTTCAGTTACATAAGTCAAGTAAGGAGTACATTTCTTTTTTTTTTCTTAAGTCGGTCATGGGGGTTTGAACTGGGCATTGAACTGGTCTGGGCATTGTCCCTGTGCTTTTTTCTCAAAGCTACCACTTTGAGCCACAGTGCCACTTCCAATTTTCTGGTGGCTAAGTAGAGATAAAAGTCTCAGACTTTCCTGCTCTAGCTGTCATTGAAGCTTGATCCTCAGATCTCAGCCTCCTGAGTAGCTAGGATTACAGGCATCAGCCACTGATGCCAGGCAAGAGTACATTTCTTTTTGGACAATATAACCCCTCACTCTCCCAATTTTCCTCTCCTGTCCCCACCTACAAGTTATATGGTTCATTTTCAACATCATGTCTAGGGAGTACCACTGCTGTATTTGTTTATTCTTTTCCCCTGCATTTCTCTGCTCCTCTTACCCACCCAAAGACAGATAAATACAACCAATACAAAAAGAAAATAAAACAACACTGGAGAAAAAAATTGTTTCCATTTCCTGGAATTCATTTTGATAAATATTATTTTATATGATTAGAGGCACATAGGCATTGAGACTTTAATTGGTTCTTACCTTACTCCATGCAGTATGTAGATCCTTTCCTCTCCACTTCCCATCCTCTACCCTCACAGTTATTTCTGTAAGTGACCAAAGAAGCTCCCACCCCACCCCCTGGCCCTGCCCTGTGTCCTCACTTTCAAGTCTTTGTCCCACTTCACAGTCACAAAACCAGGGGTTCCTTTGGCTTCCTATTCCATTTCCATACACAGTCATGTCTATGTCCTTGTCCTTCCTAACCTAGAGGAAGCAATACCCTTTCCAAACCCACTCAAATGAGTAAATTCATTGCCTTAGTGGATTTTTTTTGCTGGTCCTGGGGCTTAAACTCAGGGCCTGGGCACTGTCCCTAAGCTATTGTATGCTCAAGGCTAGTGCTCTACCACTTGAGCTATAGCACCACTTCTGGCTTTTTTTGTTTATGTGGTACTGAGGAATCAAACCCAGGGCTTCATGCATGCTAGGCAAACACTCTACCACTAAGCCACAGTCCCAGTCCCATAGTGGATTTTTGTGGACATTAATATTACTTATGCAATATTGCCCTGTATTCCACCCCACCTCCCAGTGCTGCAACCCCCATCCCTGGATAACACCTTGTTTACTAAATGTCTTCAGAGAGATTTTCCTGTTTGTACCCAAATATGAATTTCTAATGTAAGGCAAGTAAAAGTATATGTATGGTACCTTTAGGGACATTTAGAAAGAACTTTTGGTGGCTTTGTTTTACATGAAACAAAAGTGATCTTGTTGCCAAGTACAAGTGGTTCACATCTGTAATCCTAGGCTGAGATTGGGAGGATTGGAGTTCAAAGACATCCTGGGCTGGCCCAACTGGTAGAGTGCCAGCAAGCCAAGAAAATTGGAGGCCTCTGCGTTTAAGCTCTAGTACTGGCAAAAAATGTCTGTCTGTCTGTCTGTCTGTCTGTCTATCTATCTATCTATATCTATATTTTATAGCATTAGAGTATCCCTCCTGGGACTACCAATCTCCCTTTCCAGTGTACCTTCCTGGACCCCTACTCCTATCCCAAACCAAAGGGGTTTGTTTCAGTTGGTCCTTATTTGAATAGGGTCTTTTATTCAGTTTCATGATCCTTTCCTTCACCTACCCTATTTCTCAAACACATTTCCACAGTTACTTCAAGTTTATCATTCCTCAGAAGTCAGCATTTAATCTTCTACCATGGCTCACTTTTAGGTGCCTTGTCTATCATCCAAGTGCAGGCAGGACCTCCCCCTTGCTTTCCCACATTCTAGACACATAATTGATAACCTCTCTCTTCTCTGTCCCAGAAGAACAAATAATCTTTCTAAATTCATCCCAGAAAATAAATTCACATTTATTTTTTTAACTTTTGTGAGTATTTTATCATTTTATTTTACAAAAGTGTGTAAAAGTAGTAAAGGGCTCTATTCCACCCCCACACCACCTACCACCCCATACTCTGGTACCATATTGCCTCTTATCCTGCCTTTGAACCTACTCTCTCAAGGTTAATCCTGTATTTGCTAAACATGTACCCTCTATACCTTTCCTGTACATATACATAGTTCTACAAACACACATCTTTGTATGTATATATATTTTTGTAGAGAATTTATTTTAAAGGGATTTTTTAAGTGAATGCTGGGCACCAGTGGCTCACTCCTGTAATCCTAGATACTCAGACTGAGATCTGAAGATCACAGTTTGAAACTAGCTGGGGCAAGAAAGTCCATGACATTCTTATCTCCAATTAACAAGCAAAATGGTTGGAAGTGAAGCCTCATGTGGTAGGTGGCTACACTTGAGCAAAAAATAATTAGACATAAATACAGCACCCAAGCCCAGAGTTCAAACCCAAGGACAGGCACATGTACAAAACAAGTGACCTTGTATGACTTAAAAAAGTGTAGCGATAGAACAGCCACACCTCTAATGCAGTGTTCATTTCTTGTACCCTCCACCCTTCTACTGTCTCCTCCAGCTCAGGTTTCTCTGATGTTCAGTGTTCCCTCTGTCAACCATGCAACTCCTTTACTTCCTACTCTTCACAGCCAGGCCCTAGAAGAAGAGCGCCCCCTGGGGGCCCCACTTCCTCACTTATCGCTCCTCAGTCCTGGCCCTTTGGCTTCTACCCTGTCATTGCTCTGAATTTGCTTGAAGAGCCTAAGTAAATGCCAGAACCACTCACTGACTTTACTTTCCTGCCACACAGGGCCCCTCAGCCTTTGAGACCTTCTCAATTTTTTTGTGCCAGTCCTGGGACTTGAACTCAAGACATGGGCACTGTCCCTGAGCTTCTTTTTGCTCAAGGATGGTACTTGACCACTTAGCCACAGCTGTACTTCCAGCATTTTTTTCTGAGTAGTTTATTTAAAGATCAGAATCTCATTATGTAGAGCTATGGCTCAAGTGGTAGAGTACTGACCTTTAGCAAAAATGCTCAGGAACAGTGCCTCAGCCCTAAGTTCAAGCCCCAGGATTACTAGCAAACACACACACACACACACACACACACACACACACACACACACACACACACACACACACACACACACACACAATTATCTTTAATTGGGCTTCAGTGGCTTAGACCTGTAATCCTAGCTACTCAGAAGGCTGAGATCTGAAATCATGGTTTGATGCCAGCCTAGGCAGGAAAGTCCATGAGACTTTTACCTCCAATAAACCACCAGAAAACCAAAAGTGGAGCTGTGGCTCAAAGTGGTAACGTGCTACCCTTGTGCGAAAAAGTTCAGGGATAGCACCCAGGCCCTGAGTTCAAGCCCCCCGACTGACAAAGAAAAAAAAATCTCATGGACTTTCCTGCCTCCCCCAACTGGCTTTGAATCTCAAATCTCAGATCTCAGCCTCCACCAGTGCCAGCTGACCTTCTCTTTTGATTCCTGACTATTTCAGATTTAAGTCCCTTATTTCCTTCGTGGCTCCTAGTGTGGGGGGATGATCTCGTCCTCAAGTGTGCATGTGGAAATATCTGGAGACATTTTTGGGTGTCACTAACTGAGGGAGTGGGGAGTGAGCAGCACTGGCATCTACTGAGTAGAGTGTTGACATTGTGCTGAACATCCTGCAGTGCTCAGACAGCCCCTGACCCCCTGCGGCAAAGAAATCTCCAACACCTCAGGTCAAGTATACTGAGGTTCAGAAATCCTGTCCTACAGGGGGATATACAGGCCCAATGACATGGCTGGAAAATGCAGGCTGGGGTTCTCACCCTCCCCCAAATCCTTATGGTTGTTTATCCACATTCAGCATGATAGTGGGAAGGAGGAGAGAATCCCAGAGGAATGCACCATGCTTTGACCAGCAAAAGCTGGGCACTCCCACTTGCTGACTCACCCTGGCCATGGTGTGAGTTCCCTGGTGAGGCTGGACAGCCCCAGCACTCCTCCCTTGCAGCAGGTGCTGCCATCCTCTGTTCACAGCCTCTGCTTAGAGGTGGCAAGTCTCTGCCATGTTCACTTGGGTCAGGCCTGTTTTGGTTCTTTTTTTTTTTTTTTGTCGGTCATGGGGCCTGAACTCTGGGCCTGGGCGCTGTTCTTCAGCTCTTCAGCTCAAGGCTAGAGTTCTACCACTTGAGCCACAGCACCACTTCCGGCCTTTTCTGCTTATGTGGTGCTGAGGAATCAAACCCAGGGCCTCATGAATACAAGGCAAGCACTCTATCACTGAGCCACTTTCCCAGCCCCTGTTTTGGTTATATAACTTGCCCCTAAAGAGTCAGCTATCCAGTTCATTCTTGGGGACTCTTGAGATGCAGGAATCCCCATGGCTTGCCCTAACCCTAATATAGCTTTCTTTCTACTTGTCAGGTGTCTTTTGATGGTGTTTTGATTGACTGGAAACCAGTTGGCCCATACCTGTAATTGTAGCTGTAGTAGGCAGAAGTTGGGGAGGATCACTCTTCCAGAACAAGCTGGGCAAAAATTTCACAAGACCCCAGGGTCTCAACAGAAAAATCTACACATGGTGGTTCACACCTGTCACCCTAGTTAGCTATGTTATAAACAGGATCATACATGGTTCAGGATGGCCTAGGCAAATAGTGAAAGTCTATCTCAAAAATAACCAAAGCACAGAGGGGGGGTAACAATGCTCGACAAGAAATGTGCTCATTACCTTATTCGTGTTACTGTGACCCCTCTGCACAGCATCTTTACAATAAAATACTAAAAAAAAAAACCAAAAAACAAAAATAACCAAAGCAGTGAGCCAGGTGTGGCTCACACCATTTATAATCCTAGTTATCAGGAGGCTAAAACCTAGAAGATGGTGATTTGAGGCTATTCTAGGCCCAAAAGTCCAGTAGTCTCAAATCTCCAAAACAACTGGCAAAAAGCAGAACTGGAGGTATGGCTCAAACTCCAACATGACAAAAAATGCTCTGATACTAATGATCTGCTTGCCCTGAATAGGAACCCACTCAAGTTAGGTTAAACAAAAGGAGGTATAGATAAGTGGGTCTTCACATAGCACAGTTGGAAGAAGTGAAAAGTAGCTGAATTACCACCATCCTCCAACTTTCTGGAGTCACTGCATTGACACCTGAGCTTTTGTTTATCTGCTTCCTGGAATCTCATACTGGTGTCCTCTAAATGATGCATTCTGTAAGGCAACCGATTTTGCTTCCCTACAGCCAGGGCCAGGTGTCCGTCCTCACTGTGCTTGGTTGTGACCCTGGCCCCAACTCCCAAGTGACTCACCGTGTCATGACCCAACTCAATCCTGACCAGAATCTGCCTTGCCCTTCAGATTCTCAACCCTGCGGATAAGTTTGGCTCAGAATGGGTGCAGTAACCACTCCTGCCTGGATCACCTAAGGCCCATGTGTAGGATGAAGGTGGGATTTTGTATATCAGGGTTCACCTGACAGCAGTGTGGGGAAATGTACACTAGAACTGCTCCACAGAAGCTGGAGTAGTTATGGAATATTGTATGCTAATGCTCTAGAACACAGAGGGAGTCTTCAAAACATGCCTCCACCCATCTACATCCTCCCCCATGGACCTCTCCCTTCCACTCCTTTGACCCCTCCCCCAGCTCCACCCAGGCCTCCCATCTCCTCACACAAAAGAAAATCTCTCATTTGCTGTATGCATGTGCTTTTAATTCATGTTGCAGAAAGAAATACACTAAGGGCTTTGCAGCCAGATGCCCTTCCCACAGCGGATGCAGCTTTCTCTCTCTGAAAAATTCACTGCTTTACACCATGGACAATCCCAGTCCCCAGGCTGGTGAAATAGGGGAAGTTTTCGCTCTTCCTGGGTTTCATTGTCTGTCTTGTCCTTTTGGAGTTCTTGAATGTCAATTCCTGTAGCCCCCACATCAGAAAGCAGATTAAAATCAGAAGTCAGGCAATAGGAAGGCACTGGAGGTAAAGGTACTATGCCCCTGGTTGATGGAGGAGATGGGGTGGACATGACTGGGAAGGGGCATTCATAGGAGTATGTGAATGAGTCAGGGAGCTGGACGGAAAGGAGCTCAGGGGAGGCTGTGCCCTGTTGGGTTCCCAGGTGAGAAAAGGTAGCTTTTTCAGGGGATTTGACAATTCCCTCCCTCTGCCCACCCAGAGAGTAATTTTTCCACTCCATAGCTCCCAGTAGCTGCTGGAAGCTTCCTTCTGGCTCCTGTGTGGCGTCTGTTGCCACCATCATTGCTGGTGCATCGCCTGCTTTTGGTTCCTGAACATTTGTCCTAGGAATTTCCATCACTGCCATCTCTTCCTTCTCATTTGCTGGATGTATAAAGGTTCCATCCCCTCCACCAATGACAGAGGCAGCAGCCATGGCCATGGTCTTGGTATTGCCCAGGCCTGGCCCCTCTGCCATTGGGAGTGCACTCAGTTCCTGGGGAGAAGTAGACTTGTTAAAAAGCTGTGCGAGGTGTTGTGGGAGATAGGGACGACTAGTAAGGGGTTGGGTGGGCCTCTCAGCCATCGGGAGGGCATTAAGTTCCTGGGGGGAAGTAGACTTGTAAAAAGCTGGGTGGGGGGGGGGAGAATAGAGATGAGTAGTAAGAGATCGGGTGATGGGGGAGGGGCAAAGGTGATCTTACTGCTCGGAGGAGCTTCCACCTCAGCATGTCACGTTCTTTCTGCACCTCTGCCAGTTTGGTCTGTATCACTCGCAGCTGGAATGCGGCCTCTCTGCGCTCCATATCTTGTTGCTCGGAGAGCTGCTTCAGGTCTGAGGCCAAGGCGTTGGCTGCCGACTTGTGCAGTCTAGCAAAGTTGTGCAGCCACTGCACCCGGCGCCCATGTAAATAACCCTGCCTGCGAGCGAAGCGCACGCCCAAGGCCAGGCTGCTCCAGGCACAGGCTTCCTGGACCTCTCTGGGCACCGTGCGATCCTCTAAGATGGCCCTGAATTTGTCCTCTATCTCTTCCCAAGACAAAGACAGGTTTTCATGATAGAACTCGGGCCCTTTAGGGTGCCTTGCCATCTGCTCGTTGATAAAAGCCAAGACGTTGTCATGGTGAAAGCCACTAGTGGGGTCATCCGGTCTCATGGCCATGACGGTGAAGGGACCCTTTGGCTTTGGCTCTGCCTGAGAGAACCCGGATTGAACCGTTAGTGGGCATTCGCTTCGTGGGCATCCCTTCGTGTCCATTCTGCTTCAGTGACCTCTTCCCTCCCCAAGATTCTAGAAAACGCCTCCACCCACCCTAGAACCTCCTCTTGCCTTAGACACACCCCTTCTAGGACATGCCTCCCACCAGGCCTTACCTGGCTGGTGGGACCAAAGGTAGTACAGGCTACCAAAGTCTCCTACAGCTTCTCCAAAAGAGTACCTGCTGCCTTTCTGATTGCTCCGGGGAAAGGGAAGAACGACCCCCCAGGCCTGGCGCTTTATACTCTGGGACTGTTCCAAACTTCCAGATTTTGAGGGGTGAGGTGGGATGCCCCAGAGGAACAACCATCAGCCCCCTTTCTGGGAAGTAAGGAAACCTACCTTGGTTACAATTTGTTGAATGTGAAAAGAAGCGGGACTGATCCAAAAAGACTTAAGAAGAAAATGAAGTTCTTTTAAACCACTCCAAAAACTCCAATCCCCACCATAATGGTTTGCCCCATACCCACTGGAGATGGCGGTAGGACCGAATGGACAAAATGTTCTAGAGCACAAGACAGATACAAACTTGCAGTTGCATCCCAGCTTAAAGAAAGTCAAGGAACGGCTCCATCCCCCACTGCTTTCAGAAGGAACACTAGCTACCCTAAGTAGGGATAAGGTGCAACCATTTTGATCTCCGAAATGTGTTTTAAATTTATTTTTCCTGATGGACCCCATTCCTAGTCAAACTTATTTCTTTTGTTAACCACTGTGGTCCTCTGACATAAGGTCTCCAGCCTACCATTTCTTTAGAAAAAGATGCAATCAATCTGTTTTTTATTTAAAAAATTTTATTTTGGTTTGGTCATGGGGCCTGAACTTGGCTTGGGCACTGTCCCTCAGCTCTTCAGCTCAAGGCAAGCGCTCTACCACTTGAGCCACAGCCTCACTTCCAGTTTTCTAGTGGTTTATTGGAGATAAGAGTCTCACAGACTTTCCTGCCTGTGCTGGCTTTGAACTGCGATGCTCAGATCTCAGCCTCCTGAGTAGCTAGGATTACAGGCGTGACCTACTTTTTTTTCCTTTTGATGGCATTCTTAGGGCTTGAACTCCGGGCTTGGGAGCTGTCCCTGAGCTTTTTCTCCTAAGGATAGCATTCTACAACTTGAGCCAAAACTCCATTTCTGGATTTTGTTGGTGGCTAATTGGACAAAAGAGTCTCAAGGGGTCTTCTCTGCCTGGACAGGCTTCAAACTGTGATCCTGAGATCTCAGCCTTCTGAGGAGCAAGGATTACAGATGTGAGCCAGCATCTCCCAGCCTGATCATGTCTCTCACCCCCACTTTAATATCTGCAGATTAAACTAGGTAGACCACAGGTTGAGTCCTATTTTGCCACTTATTTGACTTTATGCCATGCCAAGTCTCAGTTTTAACTTGTGAATGTACAATGAGGCCTAAATGCATGACAATGCATGTAAAGTTGAGATGTTTCCTATGATCCCTTTTTTAAAATAAAATATGTAAGGGAGTATGTGTATTCCTGTTTCCATACGTTTCTATAATCTGCAGAACCATAAAGGGGAGGATATATACTACATTCAACATTTACATACCCCTGTTTTAATAGTGATAGGGGGCAGTACGAATTTAGGATTTTTGAAAAATTATATATATATATATATATATATATATATATATTTTCCTTGTAAAAATGTTCAGATTAAGTATGTATTGTTTGCAAAACTAAAAAACAAAAACAGTGACCCATGGTGGCTCACACTAGTCTATAGGCAGAGATTTGAGAGGATCTAAATTTTAGGCCAACCCATGCAACAAGTTAGTGAGGATCCTATCTCAAGCAATGAGCTGGGACTTGGTGGTACATATGCCTGTAATTCCAGCTGCTTTGGAGGCATGGTTAGGAGGATTACTGTCTGAGGATGCCATTGGCAAAGATGAGAGACTTACCAAAACAAAAACCAAAAAACAAAGCAGAAAATATCTGTGAGTGTGGTCCAAGTAGTAGAGCTTGCTTTAAAGTGCAAAGTCCTCAGTTCAAACCAGGACTTAAAAAAAACAAAAACAAACAACTTTAGGCCAATACCATCTGATCATTTAAAATCATTCTTCAGTTCCTACAAGGCACATATTATAATCCAACTTTAGAGAACCATTGACATGTGTGTGTGTGTGTGTGTGTGTGTGTGTGTGTGTGTGTGTGTGTGTATGTGTGAGAACTGGTCTTTTAAATTTCCCTCCCACCTTCCCTCCCTCTCTCTTCCCCTAGTTCCCTCTGTACTGAGGGTTGAACTTACGCAAACCCCAGCAATTTTCAGTTTTTCTTTTACTTCACCTACTGGCCTTTGTGTAAGCTGACCCATGTGTGAGTTTCCCTGTCTTTCCTATTCTCTCCACAACTATCTCTTTATCCACCTAAAGCCTATTCAATTTCTCTTTCTCTTACATAGGCACTCAAGCATTTCTTCCTTTCAAAGGTATTTCTTGATCTTCCAAACCCCATTTTGAATTAGGGTTGAATTATGCCACTTTACATACCTTTTCACCATACCATTTTTTTTTTTATCAGTGCTGGCATTTGAACTCAGGGATTCATGATTGCTAGGCAAGTACTCTACTAATGAGCTACATTTCCAGCCCTTTCTTCCACTGGTTATTTTATTTTTTTGGGGGGGGGGGGCCGGTCGTGGGGTCTGAACTCTGGGCCTGGGCGCTGTCCCTCAGCTCTTCAGCTCAAGGCTAGTGCTCTACCACTTGAGCCACAGTGCCACTTCCAAGAACTGTACTTGAATGAATTCAAAGCCTCACACTCTCACTTGATTTGTTTTGTTCATGGTTGGCACTCAGCTACTTGGGCTATGACTCTAGTTCCAGCTGACTTGTGACAGATTTGTCTTCAGCTTTATTGTCTTTGTTGATTTTGAGCCTGTCTTCAGATCTCAGCCTCCTTTGTAGCTAGGTTGATAGGTGCCACCAGTGTCTTGTGAGCCTGTTAATTTTTTGCTCCCCATGGTAACTGGAATGCCCAGTGCGTACCACCATTCATAGCTTCTGCCATCTAGATCAAGTTTATCAGACTTTCCTACCTAGGCTCCCCTATGCATGAGCTAGTGTGTTGTATCACTGTACTCAGCTGTTGATTGACAAGGGGTCTTAAGTATATGCTCAAGCTAGACCCAAACTGTGATTCTTCTAATCTCAACCTCCCAAGTAGCTAGGATTAGGCACCTGGCTTTCTCTGTAATACTTTTCACACTCGATTGTAAGTTCTTAGTTTGCTAATCTTTTCTTGTAGTGGGTATTACTTGAGGGCATAGTTTATCTTAAGCAACTCTGTTTTAAACTTGAAGCACAGTGGTAAGTACCCAATAAGATAATTGTTAAATGAGTTCAAAGAATTTATTTCTTTTATACAAGTACCTTAAAAGAGAACCATATTTTCTTTCCTGAATTTTTTTCTTCATGCAGATTGATTTTCTGCCACCTCACAGCTTCTTGTGGTAGAGACCTCTCCTCAGTTTTTGAAACCAGCCAGTGTCTGACAGAGTTGGAATTTGTAAAGAATACCCTGGAAGATTCAGGAATGAAGCATTTTTGTCATGGATTAAAACACCCACACTGTATGCTGCAGACTTTGAGGTAACTGTTAACTGGATAGTTTGTTGTTTGTGCTCATATCATGTTTTTTTGGATAGTTTCTGTTTTTGTGGGTGTAGAGCACGAGTATGGTAATTGGATTATTCTTCTGTTCTCTGCAGGTTGTACCGGTGCCTTATTTCTTCTGATTCTTGTGGAGCACTAGCTGCTGTTCTTACTACCAATCAGTGCCTCACTGAGCTAGAATTTAATGAGACAAAACTAGAAGCCTCAGCTTTGAAGTTGCTCTGTGATGGCTTAAAACATCCAAACTGCAAAGTACAGAAGCTCAAGTAACTATTTTTCATTACTCAGTAATTTTAAAAAATATACAATTTAATACTGATAACTTGTTACCAAAATACAATTCAAGGAGTCTTAGGAAGGATAAAAGTGACAGTCCCTAAAATTGTCTCTAGGTAAACAAGCTTAAGATGAGAATTTTTATTATAGTTTATTATGTTTTTATTATAAGAATATTAATAGCTCACATTTTTGAGCTATTTCTATGTACTAAACACTATGGTGAATGCTTTGTTTAATTTCTTTTAATGTGCAGAAGAACTCTAATGGATCCAAATTATTATTTTAATTTTAGCAGAGGAAAAAATTGAAGCGCAACCTCATTAGGCTGAAGAAACTTGTTAAAGACAATTCAAAACCCCAGTGTATCTGACTTCAAAGTCCATGATGTTTTTAGTAATTTGTTATGTATATCTTAGGGTTGTCCAGATAAAGAATCAGTAGAGTAGTGGTAAGGGAACAGTATTAATATATTATTATTATTTTTTTTTTTTTTGCTGGTCCTGAGCACTGTCCCTGAGCTTCTTTTGCTCAAGGCTAGTGCTCTATCACTAGAGCCACAGTGCCATTTCTGGCTTTTCTCTTTATGTGGTACTGAGGAATCAAGTCCAGGGCTTCATGCATGCTAGGCAATCACTCTACCACTAAGCCATATTCCCAGCCCCAAGTATATTAATTTCAAAAGATTGGCTTATGTGATTATGGAGGCAGGCAGGTCAAAAACCTGCAGGGTAGGCTGGAGACTTAGGAAAGAGCCCATGTTGCAGTTCAAGTTCAGAAGCTGGCTGCTGAAGAAATGTCTTCTGAGGAGGAAGTCAGGTTTTTCTGTTAAGGCTTCCAATAGATTAGACAAGGCCCATATTATTTTATTCGAAGTCTACTGATTAAATGCTAACTTCAGTTTGAAACATAACCTCACAGCAACATATAGAATAATGCTTAACCAAATATCTAGGAACTGTACCCTAGCTAAGTTGACATATAAAAGTAATCCTCACAATCTTTGTTTGAAAAAAAAAAAGAAATAGCAATACCCATGTATGTGCATGCATGTGTATGCACACACCAGCTCCGATTCAAGGGATTGAACCAGGACGTGGGTACTGTCTCTTAGCTTTTTCAGGCAAGTCTAGCACTATATAATTTGGCCTATACCTCTACTTTCTGCTTCTTTGGTGGTGGTGGTGGTGGTGGTTGTGGGCACTATCCCTGAGCTCTTTTCCTCAAGGCTAGTGCTGTACCACTTTGAGCCACCGAGCCACTTCCAGTTTTCTGGTGGCTAATTTGAGATAAGAGCCTCATGGATTTTCCTGCAAGGGGCTAGCTTCAAATGGTGATCCTCAGATCTGTCTCCTGAATAACTAGGATTATAACTAGCATTCAGTGTTGTGTTTTTTTCCTTCTTCTTTTTTTTTTTTTGTAAAGCAGGCTTTTCAGCACTAAAGCTTCCTAAAGATGAAAACTCATTTTATTCAAAATATTCTATTTAAAGTTGTTAAATTATAGCCAGACACGGTGGTTCATACCTGTAATCATAGCTACTTAGGAGGCTGAGATCTGAGGATCACGGGTCAAAGCCAGCCTACACAGGAAAGGCTGTGAGACTCCAATTAACCACCAGAAAAATGGAAGTGGAGCTCTAGAGGGCTAGCCTTGAGCAAAAGAGCTCAGGGAGAGTGACGAGGCTCTGTGTTCAAGTTCTACAAGTGACAAAAAAAATTGCAAAATGCCAGTAGCTCATTCCTGTGATTCTGGCTCCCTGGGAGACTGATATTGTTAGGATCATGGTTAAGGCCAACCAGAAAAAAGTCCAAACCAATTGTGAAGGAAAAGTTGGAATTGATGGTATGCACCTAATAGGTGGATTGTGCCCAGGTATACACCTAAACAAGGAAGTAACCCTGTCTAAACAATAGCCATACTGGAGGTGTGGCTCAGTGGTAAGAGCACCTGCTTAGCAAGTGTGAGGCCTTCAGTACAGATCCTAGTACCACAAAAAAATTAGGTAGATTATGAATACAACTTGAGGTTAGAACATGTTAAGAAATGAAGGATTCAAAGGTTGTGGTATATCTAGAATCTTTTGCAGTTGAGGAGAAATGGCTGAAGGAATTTCACCATTTAATATGTAGAAACATAGAATGAGAAGATAGAGTAGTCAGTGAAAATATTGTCACTCTTCATACCAAGAAAAGGGATTCTATATGGGTGATAATGGTCGGGGTCTCTTTTAAGGATGGCAAAGTAATTAGTAGTAAACATTTAGATAAGAGGGAAAAAAGATCTGACTATAAAATTTACTAAGGATGATTATAGAATTTTTTTCTTGTGATTTAAAAGAAGATTGAGATAGAGTGCTATCTTATAGAATACTATATTAGTATAAGAATTTTAAATGATATTAAATGATCAGTATTCCCTCCTGATCCTTTTTCAAGCAGTCAGTATTTTTTTTGAGTTCCCACTGTAGGACACATTGTTTTGGAAGCATTTTTCAAGTCCTTGCTGTGGTGAGTAAGGAGCTGGGACATGCTCAAGACTGGGGTCATGTATCTGTGGATCCTGATTTTCTCTACTTAGGTATCATTGTGGAAATGAGCAATTTACTTAAGTGGCCAATTTTTCTCTGCATTTTTTCTGTAGGTTGTGTGGTAGCCTTCTGCCAGAAAGCTCAGAGATCATTTGCCAGTATCTTGCTTCTGTTTTTATTTACAACCAATACATCACTGAGTTGGACCTGAGTGAAAATCCCCTGGGGGACAAAGGGGTGAAATATCTTTGTGCAGGTCTCAGAAATTACAACTGTAAAGTGGAAAAACTAGAGTAAGTTTCTTAGAAGTATTTGATACTATCTAAGTTGTTCAGTGACTGCTATGTTCTTGTTGCTTGCCAGAGGTCATCTTATTTTACTCATTACTTACGAAAAAGGTAAGGTTCAATTACAGGGGCTTATATTCTGTACCTCATAATGGCTAGGCATGTTCTCTATCACATGAGCCATACTTCCAGCCCAAGATGGATTTTCTTATCACCCCTGTCCATGTGAAGAAACAGGATGGGGAAAGAAGTGACCTGTCCAGCACTACACAGCTAAGTGGTGTAATCGTCACAGGACTACAAAAATCACTATTGTATCTTCTCGTATTTCCAGTATACTACAGCTTAGCATTTATTGGGATGACATTATTAAATATTAACTATATGAAAAATACCTGCTATGCATCCCTAATAGATGTGGAGCTAGCTGCGGATATAAAAGGTACAAGAAGTTCTTCATATCACAGAGCTGCCCTTAAGGATGTGCAGATTTGAACTCAATACCGTGGAATCATTTAAAGGCATCAGATGAGCCCAAGGAAAAAAGAGGTCACTATAGGCTGATGACCTCACAAGGAAGTTGTGTGAAGGATGTGGGAGAGGAGCTGGAACTCAAACGAGGAGACAGGATAGAAGAATACCAGGAAGCCAAAGTGATGGCAGAAGCTGATTTTTCTTCTCTTTTTTCCTGGGTAGCTTGAGCAAATGTTGCCTCACAGATGCTAGCTGTGTGGACCTTTCTTCCTTCTTGAGAAGGAGTCTGACTTTAAAAGAATTATTTGTGTTTGCCAATGTCCTGGGGGACACAGGAGTACAGCATCTCTGTGAAGGTGTGCTGCATACAAACAGCATAATTGAAAATCTTGTGTAAGTCTCTGCTGATCCTTGTCCTTCTCACAGACATTGGCATTTGGGGGTCAGTGGGAGTTGCTGCTGCTGTGGTTAATAGCCACCTTGATGATTTTTGTCCTTCCAGGCTTTCTGAATGTTCCCTCTCTGCAGCTTGTTGTGAGACCCTCGCCCAAGTCCTTTGTTTCAACAAGAGCCTGACAAAACTGCTTCTAATTAATAACAAAATTGGAGATTTGGGACTGAAATTGCTGTGTGAAGGATTAAAACGTCCTGACTGTCAGTTAAAGGATCTGGCGTGAGTATCATGGACAGTAGGCACTGGCAGAATATCCTAATGTTTAAGTAATTCCTAAAACTAAATGAGTATTTCTTGGCCTGGTAATTCAGTCTCCAAGGAAACGATAAATGAAGATCCAAATAATTTATAGAGGGTATAGTAATCCTTTCTCCACAATCTCTGTTTCGCTAGCCAGGGCCCAAGGATTTTTTTTCCCATGACACTCTGACTTCTACCACCTCTACCACCTCCACCACCACCTCCACCACCACCTCCACCTCTACCACCACCACCTCCTCCTCTTCCTCCTCCTCCTCCTCCTCCTCCTCCTCCTCTCCTTTCTTCCCCTCCCCTCCCTTCCCCTCTCCTCCCCTCCCCCCTTCTCTTCTCATATTGTCTTTTCTTCTCTTATTCTCTTTTCTTTTTTTGTCAATCATGGAGACTGAGCTCAGGGCCTGGGCGCTGTCCCTGAGCTCTTTTGCTTAAGGCTAGTATTCTACCACTTTGAACCATAGCTCCACTTTAAGTTTTCTGGTGGTTAATTGGAGATAAGCATCTCAAGGTCTTTCTGCCCAGGCTGGCTTTGAACCATGATCTTCTTCAGGACTCAGCCTCCTGAGTAGGTAGGATTACAGGCATGAGCCACCAGTGTCTGACTGATACTCTGATTTTCTAATGGGCAAACAATTTCTAAAGTGAACCAGATGAAATGATGTCTGCCTTCTCTACCTTACTTAACCACAGGTTGTGGACCTGTCACCTAACTGCAGCATGTTGCCAGGATTTGTGCAATGCATTGTATACCAATGAACACCTGACAGACCTTGACCTCAGCGACAATGCCTTAGGGGATGAGGGCATAAAGGTTCTGTGTGAAGGATTAGAACACCCTTCCTGCAAACTACAGACCTTGTGGTAAATGCATGGAAACTCTTTATGTAGTGTCTTTTTTTATTCCAGTATGTATATAAAATTGAGGGCCGAGGGGAACTTGGAATGAAGCTGATTTCACTTTTTAATCTTTTGTTCCTTCCAGGATAGCAGAATGTCATCTAACAGATGAGTGCTCTGGAGCTCTCTCCTCTGTCCTCAACAGAAACTCGACGTTGGTATTGCTAGACTTAAGTGGAAATAACTTCACAGATTTTGGAATACAAATGATGTGTGATTCATTGATTCATTCAAGATCTAATCTTAAGACATTCTAGTAAGTTACTGTGGTGGGGGAAGTAGGAAAGGAGAGGGGCTTGAAACAGGTGCATTGGAATTGCTCATAGCCCATTGTATTGAAAGAGAAGAAAAGTTGGGGGCCGGCAAGCCTAGCATAATAGTAAAGTAAGTGCTATTATCAGTAGACCAGTTGAACATGGGGAAACCTGTTGGGCATGGGGAAAAGCAGGAAACAGGTAACCTCTACCTCATTGTTGGAGTAGCAGCAGAGTAAAGGAAGAAAGAATATAAAATCTAGATTTGTTTGGCCTGGCTCACAGGTCTATAACATCTACTAGATAGGTGACTATGCATACTTCATCTCTCTGAACGCCAGTATACTTGCTTTTAAAATGGAGCTAGTGCTGCAGTCAGTGCTGACACTTGACTGGTTGAGGCAAACATGGGGATTGAACTGAGACAGCAATTGTATCTAGTTAGTACAATCCTTTAGTACATCAGAAATACTCCATAAAATTAGGTCTTTCCATTTCTACTAATACCTGCCAGAGGGTTTCATGTATGCATGTTTTTTTTTTTAAACCATAATTTTATTATCTTTTGGTGGTTTAAAAATATTTCTATTGTTACTATAAAGGTGATATATAGAGGGGTTACAGTTAGTATGTGCATTTCTTTTTTTTTTTTTTTTTGGTCCGGTCGTGGGGCCTGAACTCTGGGCCTGGGTGCTGTCCCTCAGCTCTTCAGCTCAAGGCTAGCACTCTACCACTTGAGCCACAGCGCCACTTCTGGCTTTTTTCTTATGTGGTGCTGAGGAATCAAACCCAGGGCCTCGAGCATGCAAGGCAAGTGCTCTACCACTGAGCCACCTTCCCAGCCCTAGTATGTACATTTCAAGAGTATTCACATCTCAAGGTGGTAAAGCCATAACGGTAAAGTTTCAGAAGGTGGAGATCTTATCCCTCTCTTTGATAAATGCCCAGCTGCCAGCTCAGCAAGCTGGCATGACACACAGAGTATTCTTAATTACAATACAACTTTGCTCTATTGGCAGCTAACCAGTGGCTAAAGGGCCATTTGTTTCTGGCATTCAGAACTGAAACACATAATGGAAAGTAAAGGCCATGTGCAAAAATTTCACCTTCCAAAACCAATCTGATAGATTGAAGCGTAAATGAAAACAGTATAAAGGCCTGATTCCAAGTCTGGCTCAAACAGAAGCTTGGTTTGGCTAGCAAAGCGAAGTTTGTTAGTTTCAGAAGCTTAAGAGTGTGGCGATTGCTGCCCAAGAAGGCAGAATTATGTATAACATGAAAAGGTCTAGGTTAGACCTCCAGTGCATCTTTCGTAGAAAGATGTAGATACAGCTTTATTGTCAAGAGATTTAAAATAAACTCAGAATCATTTAACATTGGTAATTCCTCACAGTTTGTGTGTGTAGTGAAAGTTCTAAATAACAGCAAGGAGAATATCTGTTGGGAAATGGGATGGCAGACCATTATTACTATTTTGTGTGCTAGCACTGGGGCTTGAATTCACAGTAGGCCTGGGAACTGTGGCTTAGCTTTTTCACTCAAGGCTGGCCCTTTACCATTTGAGCCACACCCCTACTAACACATTTTTTAAATTGCTGGTTAATTTGAGTCTCATGGACTTTCTGCCTGGGCTGGCTTCAAATCACAATCATCAGATCTCAGCCTCCTGAGTGGCTAGGATTACAGACATGAGCCAACAATCTCTGGCTCATTATTTCTTTTGTCCTTATAAATTGTGGCTCTATTTTCCTTTTCTTTGGTGCTTTGTCTTTTAACCCAGCATGCTTCTGTTGTATTTTCAGACCAGCATTCTCATCCCTATAATTTATCTATCAGGTAAGTTGGTAGCAGTGTACCAAAAGAACATGGAATTAAAAATAAAGGGCTTACAGAGTAGTCACAATTTGAGGATCTCAAATACATTTTGCTGTTAGGATGTATATAAGACAAAACTGAAATCAACAGAAATGTATATTTATTCAAGTAAGATATAAGGAAGATGAAGATTATTTAATGTGAGATGGAGAGGAGTCAATCCAGGAGAACCTCCTAGAAGGAGTCCTCTTGTAGAAATGGTAGTTCAATGAAGGCTGGGTGTCTATGATAGTCAGGACAAAGGACAGGAAGAGATTTTTTTTGTTGTTGTTATTGGTTGTGGGGCCTGAACTCAAGGCCTCAGTGCTGTCCCTCAGCTCTTCAGCTCAAGGCTAGTACTCTTACCACATGAGCCACAGCACCACTTCTGGCCGTTTCTGTTTATGTGGTGCTAAGGAATCGAACCCAGGGCTTCTGTTTATGTGGTGCTAAGGAATTGAACCCAGGGCTTCATGGATATGAGGCAAGCACTCTACCACCGAGCCATCTTCCCAGCCCCTAGATGGTGTTCTTAAAGTGACAAAATTCACCCTCAGTTATTCCACAAGTACTTCCTGACCATGTCATATGTGTCAAGTGCTATAGAAACAATAAAATTTGAGACACGTTCTGTGCTTCAGGGGCAATAGTAGAGAGAGGCAAATTTACTGAATAAGGCAGTGAAATGACCAGTCCTAGGGTACTTAAGAAACCACGACACAATAAAACCAGCCTTGCTCAAGGGTCTCAGGGAAGCTTCTTAGAGGAGACACAACCTCAGTCAGTTCAATCAGAGAAGATAGATGGAAGAATGGAAAAAGATAAGCCAAGCGTAAGTGGTGATATGAGCAAAGGCACCCAGACAGACAAACATGGTTTATGATATTGAATGAGAATAAGGGTAAGGAATCTTCAGGAAGTTTAGTATTACAGACAATCAAGAGCAAAGCAGAGTATCAACAAATGTTAATAAATGAGACTAGGAGGTAATCAGGATCTCATATGCCATGTGTACCAGTGAATAATACCTGTTGGACGAAATCCTAGTGAAAAGTCAGTCATTTCTCCAGTTCTTACATGTTCTAGTAGTAGAGTTTTCTCCTTAATCTCACTTTCTTTTCCACAACTGACCCCAAAGATGGGGCCAGTTTTTTCTTCCAAAGCTAGATGGGATGTTGATCAACTGTTTTTGCTACTTCTTGCTTCTGTATGTGCTTGATCTTAAGGACTTTCCTTACATAGGACAACCAAAGCTTGTTGACTGGACATTCATACCTTGACTTAAACAAGATCCCTGTGCCCTGTAGTGACATTCTATTTGCACTCCAAGATTACAGATAGGTTAGTCTACACAAAAAGTGCAGTGATTGGGCTGGGAAGGTGGCTCAGTGGTAGAGCGCTCTTGCATGCATGAGGCCCTGGGTTCGATTTTCCAGCACCACATAAGCAAAAAGGAAAAAAGCCGGAAATGGCGCTGTGCTCAAGTGGTAGAGCACTAGCCTTGAGCTGAAGAGCTGAGGGACAGCGCCTAGGCCCAGAGTTCAGGCCCATGACAGGACCCCCCCACCAAAAAAATAAAAAAGTGCAGTGATTGTTAGGTAAAGTGCCCTTTGTGTTTAGGAGGCTGGGTGCAGAATTCTAGTGGTCAGCAATATGCTGGCAAAGGCTATGCTCACAAAGGCTCTAGCTTGAGCCAGTGAAGACAGTGGAACCTTCCTTTTTAAGGTAGTTCTCTCTGTGTGGGTGTGTGGCTGTGGGTGCGCACGGCCTGCCTGCCGGCCAGTATTAGAACTTGAATTTAGGGCCTTATGCTCTTGCTTGGCTTTTTTGCTTGTTAATTAGAGTCTCAGACTTTTCTGACTGGGCTGGTCTTGAACCTCTATCCTCAGACCTCAGTCTTCTGAGTAGCTAGGGTTACAGGCAAGAGCCACTGACTGGTAACCCACATCTACAAGGTCATTTTATTTTAGAAGACCTGGTACTTTTTTCATGTACTGACTGAGCCTGGGATAAAACTCATTAGCTTATCCTGCTATGTGTTCCTAATTCTAAATTTTGAAATAAGAGGTTGAAAGTAACTGATATCTTAACTCTCAGATGTCTGAGCTTACCAAGAAAATTGGCCCAACTCCCCCAATATAATTCATATACTCATTTATATGAAGGGAGAAGGTACCTTTTGTTATGTTCCTCAAAAAAAGTAAAAAAGATTTTATTACACTTTTATAGCATTAAATTGCCACATAGGGGCTGGGGGTTTAGCTCAGCGGAAGAGCGCCCGCCTGGCGAGTGCGAGGCCCTGAGTTCAGTCCTCAGCTCTGGGAAAAAAAAATTTGCCACATAGCATTATGTAAATAACTAAGATACTTACTTCCACTTTGCTAGATAAAGATTAGCTTTTTTCCATTAAGAAGTAGGAACTAGAGACTTTACTTTTTGGAGCCCTTCTCTTTGGAGAGTCTTACTACTTTCCTTTCACTTTCAAATAAACTTGCTTTGTATGCATTTAAAAAAACTAGGGTGTTCCTGGCGCTGGCTCTTGCCTGTAATCCTAGCTACTCAGAAGGCTGAGATCTGAGGATCACAGTTCAAAGCCAGCCCAGGCCCAAAACACTGAGACTTTTTTGAGTAAGTTTTTTTATTGTGAAAATACTGCACAGAGGAGTTACAATCACATGAGCAAGGTAATGAGTACATTTCTTATTAAGCATTGTTGCCTCCTCCTTTGTTTTTCCCCTACCATCCCTTCCCTCCCATCTCAACTACATTCCTGCCCCCCAAATTGTAAAGTTCATTTTTCGACATAGCGTCTTGTACATTTCATTGTTGCAATGGGTCAACCTGTATCCCTATTTAAGCAATTTATTTTTTTCCTTCCGCTCCCCAAATTATACCAACATCAAATACAGTGAAAATTAGGGGTTATACCGTAGGGGAGGGACATACAAAGCAACAAAAAAATCATCTTATAAATACGTTAGAAACAATAGCAAGAAAGAAAAAAACCCACTTGTGTCCTTATCTTGGGGTTCATTTCACTTAACATCATCTTATCTGACCTTTTCTGCTTGACTCAGACATATACTAGTTATTGCTAATAAGGGAAACCACAGGACCTATGTTTTTTTTTTTGTTTTTTTTTTTTTTTTGCGCCTGGCTTACTTCACTTAATATAATTTTTTTCCAAGTCTTTCCTTTTCCTAACAAATGGGGAAATGTCATTCTTTCTGATGGAGGCATAGAATTCCATTGTGTATATATGCCACATTTTCTTGATCCATTCATCTACTGAGGGGTGTGAGACTCCTATCTATAAATAACCTCCAGAAAACTGGAAGTGGTGCTGTGGCTCAAGTGGTAGAGCACTTGCCTTGAGCTGAAGAGCTCCGGGACAGTGCCCAGGCCCAGAGATCAAGCCACACAGCTGACAAAAACAAAAAAACAAAAAAAACTAGGGTGTGCCCCCCTTCCATTGTTTCCTAATTTGAATTTAGGAGGCTGATGTCTGAGGATCTTTGTCTAGGCAAATGTGGCTTAGTGCCTGCCTGGCATGCATGAAACCCTGGGTTTGATTCCTCAGTACCACATGAACAGAAAAAAGCCAGAAGGGGCCCTGTGGCTCAGGTGGTAGAGTGCTAGCCTTGAGCAAAAGAAGCTCAGGGACATTGCCAAAGCCCTGAGTTCAAGCCCCAGTACTGGCAAAAAAATCTATGAGACTCTTGTCTCCAAGTATTCACCAAAATACCCACAAGTGGAGCTATGCTCAAATGCTAGAACATTAGCCTTGACAAAGAAGCTCAGGGACAGAGCTCAGGCCTGAATTCCACCTCCGGAACCAGCCCCTCCCCCCTAAAAAAAATCCCTAAACAAACCCTAGGAACTATACTGCATACTTGGAAGTAGTCAGGATATATATACTGAGTTTGAAGTACCTGTGTTCCACTTGGGGAAAGCTTTTTAATAGGTAGGCAGTTGGATGTGAAAATGTGTACTTGGAAGTGATCACCTTTGAAGACATGATAACTGAAGCTATGACAGTGAATATAATGTTAGAAAGAGTGAGAAAAGCCCCTGAAGAATCTTCTTTGTGAGATAGGCCATGAGGGTTTGAAAAGGAAGTCCATAGAGAGAATCATGTTCTGAAATCTAAGGAAAAAGTGAACTTGGAAGGCAAAATGATCAATGGTATTGAGTCCTGAAAATGTCCATTGGATTTAGCAATTAGATTGTAAGTAGCCTTAATAAGGCTGACTGAATGGTGTGGTGGGGCTGTAAACCATTTTGCAATGACTTGAAGAGGTAGATTATAAGGAAGTTTATAAAAAGAAGAGGTGAGGGGTGGGTACCAGTGGACTGCACCTATAATTCCAGCCATTCAGGAGGCTGATACATGAAAATGGTGATTTGAAGCCAGCCCTAGCAGACAAATCTTACCTTCAGTTAACCAACAGAAAGACGTAAGTAGAGGTGAAGCTCAATTGGTAGAGTACTAGTTGTGAGCAAAATAGCTGAGTGAGAGCTCAAGGCTCTTGAGTTTAAGCCCCGGTACCAGCACAGCAAAAAGATATGTGAAGCTGGGCACTCATGGCTCACACCTGTAATCCTAGCTACTCAGGAGGCTGAGATCTGAGGACCATGGTTCAAAGCCAGCCCAGGCAGGAAAATCCATGACACTCCAATTAACCACTAGAGAACCAGAAATGGCACTGTGGTTCAAGTGGTAGAGTGCCTTGAGCTGAAGAGCTGTGGGACAGCACCCAGGCCCAGAGTTCAAGCCCCATGACTAACCAAAAAAAAAAATGATGTGTGAATTCATAGATGGAGAGAGTTGTGTGGTTGGAGAGAGAGTAGAGCTTATTCCTGTTCTTTAAAAAACCCTTGTTTTCAGATAGATATATTTGTAGAGTAAGAAATAGGAGTCCATAGAGAGGGAAAAGTTGCAGTTACAGGGGTGGAAGCTAATGGAACAGAGCCTTGGACAAAACTGAGGGTATAGGAGTGAAGAGATGAAAGAGAAAATTCACTCATGGCAAGGAGTTAAGGCTTGGGGAGGAGTTAGATAACTGAGTGGTGCCATGGAGCAAGTGTGAAGGGCATCTTACCCTTAGAAATAGGAAAAGGACTGCAGACATCAGATGTTCTGACTTTGTGCAAAATTCTTTTCCTTTTTTTTTTTTACAGTATTGATACAGATTATTTATGTGAAGAAACAATGAGAAGGATGGAGCTTTTAAAAATAAGCAACCCTGGAATCACCTGGTAGTTTCCAAGGACAATGCCTGAGCAGATTGCACATACCTCCCTCCCCCTAGAGTACCACGTTTAAAAACTGTTCAGTATTATTTTCCCAAATCCTTTCACCTTTGCTGAAGATGCTAAGAAACAAGCAGCAGGGATTGCTGTTTCTTCCATAAAAGCATCCACTAAGTAGAATGTAAATGGCAGATGCACCTTAGTTCAAAGTGTTTTCAGCAATAATTCTTTACATTCATATATTGTGTTATTGTGTTTACTGTACTGTTATGAAAATCCTTTAAGGTGAGAAGACCAAGGTTCAGAGAAATTGTGACTAGGCTTATGTCACACAGTTCATTAATAGGAGCATACAGACTTGAGTCCAGCTGGGTATTCCTGCTGTAGATTTAAGCTACATTTTAATTAATGAATGGGAGAGGCAGTGACTTATTTCATGGAGGGAGTGAGACTTTATGTGAGCCTTGAAGAATGAATAGATTTCAGATAGGCAGAGATAATGGCCAGTGCCTTTAAGTCTGCCTGCTTACAAGGCTGTGTTTGTGTGCAGCTCACCAGAACAGCCTAGGGGAAAAAAATGTTTGCATCAGAATTTTGCAAGCTGCCACAAAATCCAGTTTCCAGTTTCAACTTCATTTCTGAACATCTAGTATCTCCCAAATGTGTTGTTATGTCTTCATAGTTCCCAGGACTGACTGACTCCTCATTTCTAACAGCATCTTGCTCAGCCCAGTACCATTTCCACATCTGCCCAGTTTCTCCCAAACAGTGGATGAGACAAGTAGGGAGAAAGAAAATAGCACAAAGTCAGTGAAGCAGGAGCAAATGTACTATGGAAATAGCAGAAAGCAGGCTAACCTTATTAAAGTGTAGAATTTTCACTGGAAATTATTTGATAAGCTGTGTGACCCTGAATTAAGTCACTTGGATTCCTGATACCTTAGTTTTCCTATCTATAAATTAGGGATACGTTGACATTAGTCTTACCAGGGCTCTTTCCCAACATGCTCCCAATTTCACAGTAGGCACTACTTAATTATGCCTGTTTGTATGAGTGTGGATGTTTAGTGTATAACTGTACTGTAGTGTAGTCGTTGAACACAGATTTTCTTGCCATTGTCATCATCGTTAACTGCATTTGAACTGTGTGTGTGTGCGTGCGTGCGTGCGTGCGTGCGTGTGTGTGTGTGTGTGTGTGTGTGTGTGTGTGTGTGTGTGTTTTGGAGGCAGAGAATCCACTGGGGGAAGAGATCAGAGTGAGAAGTTATTCTATGTGAGTGATTGTTAGAATGCATCATCCGTCACTATCTATCTCCACCTTCCCTGGTCCTCATTACCCTGGGAAATGCTAACTCAGTAAGAACCCAGGATCTGTTCTAAGAAGAGTCAAGATAGAATTTCCCGTTTTGTTTTAAGTGCTTTGTTGCCTTTAGGTATTTATCATGTATTTATTGGACATTTATTGTGTGCTAGGTTTTGTGTCATGTTTTGGATTTACAGAGATGAACATACCTTTTCTTGATACTTCCCCTACCATGATCTCTGACTAACCTAGTCCCTGTCTGTGCGGTAAAAATCTGTTAAAACTCAGTCACATTAGGAACTCAAAAGATACAGGCAGGGCTAGAGGCATGGCTCAAGTGATAGAGTGCCTGTCTATCAAACATGAAGCCCTGAGTTCAAACTTGAGTACCACCCTAAAAAACCAAACCCTTGATGGTAAAAATTAAATGGGAAATGGAGAGCTATGTGTATATAAGGGTATGCACATCTGGTTTGCTTACAAAAGAATGTATAATCATATGTACATGTATCCAGAAAATACATACAAGGAGCTGGTAACAGTGATTACTTCTGACTAGGGGAATTTGGCGAGCAGAGTAGTAGGGAGAAAAGGAAAGGAACTTTCATCTATGGTCCTCCATTTTCTACTTCATAATTTCACCATGTACATATTATGTTACTTTTATAATTAGTTGAATTTATGTTAAAAATAAAACTCAGGCTTTCTTTTGGCTTGGAACTACCATCTTCCAAAAATTTGTCAAAACGATGAATACAAAAGGAAAGAGGAGAGGTACCCAATACATGTTCTCTAGGCCTTTCGAGGTAGGGGGCCCTGTTTAGAAAGGCATGCCCCTAGATGTTACCATAGCAAAACTGGAAGCACCTATAATGTTACCCAGCGTACTGTTGGGATTGTTGAGAACAAGAAAGGGCAAGATTCTTGCCAGGAGGATTAATGTGTGTATTGAGCATATGAAGCATGCTTAAGAGCTAGTTTCCTGAATTGTGTCAAGGAAAACAGCCAGAAAAAGAAGGAAGCCAAAGAGAAAAGAAGCTGGTTTTTACTGAAGCTCCTGCCTGCTCCACTCAGAGAAGCACACTTCGTGAGAACCAATGAGGATGAGCTTGAACTCTTGGGACCTATTCCCTTTGAATTCATGGCATAAGAAATGTAAAAAAAAAAAAAAGAAAAGAAAAGAAAAAAAAAGACCACTGGACTATTAAAAAACAAAACACCTCAGGGCTGAGGATATAGGGAGAAAAGGAAAGGGACTTTCATCTATGGTCCTCTGTTTTCTACTTCATGTTTTTATCTTGTGCATGGGTTACTTTTATAATTAGTTGACTTGATGTTGAAAATAAAATGCAGGGCTGGGGATCTAGGTCAGTGGTATGTACAGCAATTGTCTGGTTTAAATCTCCAGTATTGGAAAAAATAATAAACTTAAAAAAAATTGGAGTTATTTTTTTCTTTTTTGGCAGTATTGGGATTTGAACTCAGCCTTGCACTTACTTAGCCTTGTATGGCTTTTGCTCTACCATTTGAGCCGGGCCTCCAGCCCAACTATTTGATGGTTATTTTGGAGATGGAATCTAGTAAACTTTTCTGCCTGTGCTTGCTTTGAACTGTGATCCTCTGTATCTCAGCCTCTCTAGCAACTACAATAACAGGTGTAAACCCCTGGTACCTAGATTTTTGGAGGGCAGGCAGGGTCTCATTATGGATCCCATGCTGGCCCCAGACTTGTGATCCTCTTGCCTCAGTCTTGTAAGTGCTAGTTTTACAGATTGTTTTTAAAGCAAATATACTGAAAGAAGTGTGGCAGAGTGCTAACCTTGAATAAACAAGCTAAGGAACAGCACCCACACCAAGTTCAAGACACAGTATTGGCACATACACACACAAATACTTTAGCCATATTCACCCTCATTCAGTCTCTTAGCCCTCCCCACTTCTGCAGGTACCCCTCCAACAGTCCATTTTACTTTCTAACAAATAAATTTAGAGATAAAATCTAAATCTCAAGTTCATATGTAACTATAACCTGGAATTGTTCAAACAAAAGTTTACTACATTTTTAGAGTATTAGTTGTACAAAGGAATTAGTTTCATTGTGATTTTTCCACGCATGCATATAATGTACTTTTCATTGAACTTCCCCACCTCCCTTTTTTGTGCCAGTCCTGGGATTTGAACTTAGAGACTGCATCACCACTTGAACCACAGCTCCACTTTGGGATGTTTTGATAGTTAATTGGAGATAAGAGTCTTGATCTAGCTTTAAACTCAGCCTCAGATCTTAGCCTCCTAGGTAGCTAGGATTATAGGTGTGAGCTACCAGCATCCAGCTTCCCTTTTCTTACTTCTTGTCCTAGATCTCCATTTTAAAATGAGTTTTAGTCATTTTCATCATTCTATTTCATATGTGCTTATAAAATACTTGAAATATAATTGTTCCCTCAATAACTTACCTTTTTTTCCCATTGGTACTCCTTCCCCAAAAAGCCCTACTGTACATTCATGCTGTTTGTTTCCAGTCTAGATCCCACATATCTGAAAGCATGATATTTGTGCCTAGTCTTGCCTATTTTGATCTCCAATTTCATAATTTCATTATGGCTCAATAATATTTGTGTGTGTGTGTGTGTGTGTGTGTGTGTGTTTCTTTACCATATAACTTAGAAAAATAACCAAATTAGAAAACACACCCTAACAGCAAGTCTTCAAAAAAGCACTACAGAGGATACAAGTGTGAACAATAAAGCAGCAGAGTCTAGAAGTCCACACATTGATAGTAGTTTTTTTTATAAAGGTTCCAAGGTAAATCCTACTGAATATCATTTTCAACAAATAGTTCTGTAACAATTGGCTAGCCATTTGCAAAAGAATGTTTCTCAACTTATCTCATTGTACATAAATATTAAAATGGCTTAGATACTGAAATTAATAGTTATGGTCAAGCTTCTAGAAATAATTGTCACAAAACCTTTTTTGAGACAAATTGGTTTTGAAAATATTTAATGTGAATTCTGTGAACTACAAAAGGAAAGAAGCCAATAGATTTGGACTTTATCAAAATTTAAAACTGAAAATCTTTCACAACATGCTCTTCAAAGGGGCCTGTTCTAAAGATAAAAATACAAGCAAAGGACCAGGAGTTAATATTTGAAATATAGCTATCAATGTATATCTGATAAAAAATACTTGTATCTACAATATTTAACTTTTTTGTGGTACTCAGGCTTGTAACTAAAGGATTTTCATCTTGCTAGCTAAGCACTCTTAGGAACTTAAAAACTAACTCAGAGGGACTAGAGACATGGCTTAAATGGTAGATTGATTGTCTATTGCGAAGCCCTAAATACAGTCCCTCATACCACAAAAAACTATAATTAAAAGATTATCAACTCAATTTCTGAAATGTCAAGAATCTGAGGACTCAACTAAAAGACACACTTAAATGAGCAAATGAAAAGACATTTAATGTTAGTCTTTACAATGAACATTTACACTTCACTAAGATAGCACTACACACTCACAAGAATGACTTAAAAGGATAGACCAGGGCTGGGAAGGTGGCTCAGTGGTAGAGTGCTTGCCTTGCATGCATGAGGCCCTGGGTTCGATTCCTCAGCACCACATAAGCAGGAAAAAAAAAGCTGGAAGTGGCGCTGTGGCTCAAGTGGTAGAGTGCTAGCCTTGAGCTGAAGAGCTGAGGGACAGCGCCCAGGCCCAGAGTTGAGGCCCACGACCAGACCCCCCCCCAAAAAAAGGATAGACCATATCAATATTTACAATGATGAACTTTGAAATGCTGCTTAAGAGTGTTAAATCATACAACCACTTTGGAGCAAAATTTTTTCAGTTGCTCACAATGTTAAATATACTACTTATCAACAAGCCATTTCATTCCCATGTATTTACCTACGAAAAATGAAAGCTCTGTCTACACAATGACTTATACATGAAAGCTCATAGCAATGCTATTTGTGTGTGACATTTGGGAAAACCTGATATGCCAATAAACATGGATCAAAATGGATAGCGTGTGCTATACCCATACAATGGAGTAAAGTAAAATAACAGTTGAGGCAGAAATATGGATGTCTCAAATAAATATACTAGCTGAAAAAGCAATTAAAAGGGTACATGCCAGATGGTTTCCATTTTTATAAACTTGTAGAAACTGAAAATGTATTTTCTACAATAGGTCAGGGGTTACCCAGGAGTAGGGATGTGAAGAGAAAGAGATACATACTAAAGGGAAACAAGTTGAAATGATAAGTATGTTCATTATCTTGAGTTTTGGTGATTTCAGTTAAAATTTGTCAAATTGTGCGCTTTAAATGTGTCTAGTTTGTTGAATGTCAATTATAACTCAATAGAGCTATAAACACTGATGCACATTATCACAAACATGACTGAGTCACTTTCGAACACCATTTGTAGCTGGACATTGACAGCTCATGCCTAAGTCCTCACTACTCAGGAGTTTTGATATATGAGAATCAAGGTTCAAAGCCAGCTTGGGCAGACTAAACCTCAAAACTTTTTCCATTAAAATATATCTGTAAGTAGTTGTGCAAAGGGGTTTCAATTCAACATGTCAGTTTATGAGTACAACGCATTGTGATGAACGTCACTCCTTCCATCGTTCTTCCCCCACCTGTCCCAACCCTACTCAACACCTGAACTTGTGAACACTAAATGGCTGAATACCATGATTGTTATGGCATGAAATCTATATCTATATCTATATCTATATAATTGTTCTGGTTGTTACCACTTTGAAGACACCAACACAATTGATTTCATTTTGCTTTTCTTTCCTTCAAGGCTCACTCTACCAAAGGGCCTCCACAGCATGATCAAGTTTCCCCTACCCATAGACCTTCTTCTTAGCTTATTCTCAAGTCTTTGATTCTCCCCACCAGTATCTCTCATGTGTTAAGGTGTTGGGTACAATGCCTGAAATCCTAACTATTCAGAAGACTAACGCAGCAGGAATGTAAGTTTCTAAATAAAGCCAGGAGCAATGCTTATGCCTATAATTCTAGCTACTCGGGAGACAGATATAGGAGAAATGTGGTTCAAAGACAGCCTGAGAGAAAAAATGAAATCCCATCTCAACAAATAAAAAAATCTGACCCTGGTATTATATACCTGTTATCCCAGTTATATGTAAACTACAAATAGGAGGATCATAGTCCAGGCTAGCTCTGAAAAATTATTAAAGCCACCTGATTGATGGAGTGGCTCAAATGAGAGTGCCTGCCAGCATGTACAAAGTCCTGAGTTCAAACCTCAGTATTGTTAAAAAACAAAAAGAAAAGCTGAGCATGTAGTTCAATGCTAGAATGATTGCCAAACTTGGATGAGGCCCAGGGTTTGATCTCCAGCACACACACACACACACAGCACACACACACACACACACACACACACACACACACACACACACACACACACACACACACACACACACAACCAGAAGAAAAGGTGCTCAAAATCACCATGTTAAAAAAAAACAGAAACTTTTAATAGCCTGCTAATACCTGACCTTTGATTAGCTTGGCAAACTAGTTTTTGGTTGTCTCTTTGAAGGCTAGAACATATAAAGCAAGTGAGTTTGGGGCTGGGGGTTTAGCCCAGCGGAAGGGCGCCCACCCGGCGCGCAAGGCCCTGGGTTCGGTCCTCAGCCCTGGGGAAAAAAAAAGCAAGTGAATTTGGGAGGTAAGAAGATAAGGAAAGAAAGAGAAGATCCTAGAGCATCAGTAGAAAACATGCCTGCTCTATGCACACAAGTGCCTAAATTAGAGAGATAATGACCTGGACAAATAGGGAGAACTGCAGATAAATGTTAACTACATTCATGATTAATTCATTATTGTTGTTCATTTGTCTTTTCCTTCCATTTCCAACTCTAAGGCATATTTCCCAAAGCATTTCATAAATGCAGTGATATGTGAATTTTCCAATGTGAATATGTCATTCTCTATCTTACCAAGCCACTCCTAAATCCTCATCACAATGAGCTGGGGATATGCCTCCATTTCCAAAAGAAGCACATTTTAATAATAATCATGATCATAATAGCAATAGGAACTATTACTATTACTGAGTGTTGTCCTTGAGCTTTTTTGCTCAAGGCTAGCCCTATAACACTTGAGCCACAGCTTCATGCCTGGCTTTTTTGGTGCCTGACTAGAGTTAAGAGTCACAGACTTTCTTGCCTGAGCTAGCTTCAAACCGTGATCCTCAGATCCCAGTCTCCTGAGTAGCTAGCTAGGTATGAGCCACCAGTGCCTGGCAAAAATAAACATTTTTTAATGATATCATATATGTGACTGATAGGTAATTTTCTTTTGTATGTATGTATGTATGTATGTTTTTTGTTGTTTGTGGGACTTGAGCTGTAGGCCTGGGTGCTGTCCCTGAACTCTTTAGCTCAAGGCA